AGATAACCCCTGAGGTCAGGGTGGAATGGTGACCCATCGTAGAGGACAATGCGTGCACCACATGCAAGACCTGAGAGCATGAATGGCCACATCATCCAGCCCGTCTTGTATGGGTATGAGCTGATCACTTCACGCACAGCATATGTATATGGGACTGCTTACTGTAGTGTATTGAAAATAGACATCAGTCGGAAGGATGCCGAAGCCAACCATACAGTCCTTCTTGCTGTTCATGAGGGCGCCCTGCACAGGAAGATAAATAGTAGAATATGGCACGTTAGCGGGAGGCGTACCCCACCGCAGTGTACTATGCATTTCGGCGGACCACTTGTCCCGGAGGAGTATAAGATGTACAATGGATGACTGAAAGGTAGCTGCTCAAATTCCAGTGGTCGACCGTCATCTGATGCAAGGAAAGAATCCATTGTAACACTAAACAAAGGTCAAGTGAGAACACGCGTTAAGGAGTCGTGAACAAACCTGTTGGGTATGTTTAGAGACTCTGGGACAGTGTTTCCGGTCTTCGCACTCGGTAAGGTAATGATGCGCTGTACGCCATATGTGCGGAGGTCCTGTTCCACTTCCGAAGCCTTCTGCACTAGGCTGATTGTCTTCCCGGCATAAAAAATCTCCATTTCTGTGAAAATGAGCTTTGGCTTGATCTGCCTGTACCTATCAAGTATGCCCTAGTCAAGGTGGAACGTCTTGCGAGTCTATGAGAGATACGATACGGCTGACCTGGGTACCCATGTCAGTTGCGGTACTGGAGAATATTGCCCCTACACTGGAAGCCGCAAGAGCAACTACCACAGCGGTGATAGAGTTGGATATGATAGCTGCGATCATTTAAGGTTAACAATTTGTGGCAAACTCTATAGGCGTCTCCTTCGCTCACCAGCAACCCTATCTCCAACCTTTAATCCATTCGCGCGCATTGCAGCTGCCATTTTGCGCACCATCTCTCTTAGCTGACGGAATGTATAATGCGTCACGACTCCGAGTTCATTGCCTGCTGTGCAAGCGATACCATCGTCGTCTCGGTAGAGAAGGTTCTCAGCGTAGTTGAGGCGTGCTCCGGGAAACCATTCGGGTACTTCTTCATATTTGCCCTTTTGGACTATCTATGGTGATATTCGATATCATAAGGAAAAGAACAATATGAGTTGACGCACCTTTGTGGGATCTGGGGGAACAGAAGACAGAATACCCATAAACTGCCAGAGGTCGAGCCAGAAGGTGTAATTGGATACCGAGTATGCATGGAGGTCATGGTAGTCCTCTACAGCACAAAGAGGCTCCAGTCAGGCTCTCATTCTATGAAAGATGTCAACGCACTGAGTTTCAGGTTGTGCTTGAGGTTAATTTCACGCCTGAAGTTCTCGCAGACGACATGAGACGGGTAAGCGGGTGTCCAAATAAGGCGTGACTGGTCGAACTGAGCACTCATTGCAAGAGACTTGAATCACTTTGCAGTTGGCTTGGGTGGTGATTATATATCTAGCCTGCAAGGGAATTTCGGGTCGCGCTCAGCTTAAGGCGTCTTCTCCCACGGCCGGAATGATGCATGACCTGGTGCATGCGACCTATTTTGAAGCAGTTCTGCCAGCCAGTGACAAAAGCAAGGAAATTTTTCAAGTTGCTGGCACTCCAAGTGTGCTATATTGATGTGAGACCTGAGTCCAAGTCCTTGCATTGCGGTTCCGTAACCATTTTCTCGTCTACTACTGCTTGAATATTGTAGCTGGCGTCACTGGAGGCTGTTGCAACTTGCGAGTGGTGGAACAGATGTGAAATCGGTCTCGAATTACTTGGCCACGGCAACCTCGGTATTGACTTGAAAGCCGGCTTGAGGGAATTGAGAGGACGACCTCCATTGGCAAGACATCTGCTAGTACTCCTGAGTTCTGTTACATTTTGCCCACCACACTCCACACTACAGGCTGAGTAGCAATAGATAATATAAGATTCCGTTGTTAGAGTGGTAGTGACTCTTTGAGTTCAAAGTTCAAACTTGACAATTGTTCTGTGGTCACGTGGCCCGTGGGCTTCCACTTTGGGTGTAAGTATTCTTAACACCGGACCGATTTGTCTACCAATAGTGCGTGGAAGAGGCTGAGCGCAGCTCTTGGCCACTGTATCCCGACATTACGTTGATCGATTCCGGCCTCTCAAGGCCTTCAAATTTATTTAACTCCACCAGCTGTGACTTATCCAAATTTTTCGTAATGATCTTCGTGGCGGCGGCGGCGCGGCCCGTGTTCTATAAGTCATGGGCCGCCTTTGCAGAACAGGTGAATCATAGCTCTACATTGATCGTATTGAAATTTCTTGGTCAGTATATTGCTCTCCTGTTGTCTTCCTCCCGCCATCTAGATTTGCCAGTTAGGCCACTTTATCCCTTGCAATGGACGCTTTCTCGCGCAGCGTTCGTCAAGGTGCACTCATAACTGTTGTGGGAACTGCTGGAGCAAGGCCACGCAGTGTGTTGGACCCAGTTGTCACGCTTCCGCACACCATTGAGTAATCTAGATTCTGTTTGCATCAGGTGATATTGGTGCAGCCTTAACACAAGAGTTCGGGCTGCTCAGCTTCCGCCTTCGTAACATGGTAGATGGCGTCTACTGAAGTACTGAAGACAAGTCCGCACAAATACGGCAATTGGCTGCAATAGAATGTTGTCAAATCCCGCATCCATATACTGCCTGATTTTTCCCGTTTTCTTCTTCCTCCGCTGTTCTGCGATCTTCGGAAGGCAGCAGAATATGGTCCAAGATTATCAAGATCCTATCCATGTTCCACTTGGTATTGCACTAATTGCCGTATCGCAGTTGTCCTCCGAGTTCCAGTCGCTCGTACATCTTACTGGATCTTCTGATCACCGACTTCCCGACGCAAGTCGTTGGATAGTATCGTTGGTCTCATCGTTCAGGTGCCCAGGAAGTGGCCACGCATCTGGTGGTATCCTACCGTTGAATTTTGGACCTTTGTTAAGGACTTTGTTGCCATCAGGCAAGCGAACCTGGCCGGAGGCAATCACATTCGGTGTGTCGCTGCTGAGTTAGGTGTTATCGTTCAGCATTATATCCTTCACATCGCTCGCAGACGGCGATGCAATAGTCAAAGGGACCTTGAATGCATTGAGTCAAAAACAGTAGCTTCACCTGGTCCGTCACGCATTGCCGAATTTAATCCAAAGTCATTTACCATGCACGACAGGCCTTTAACTGATCAGCGACATCATACAAACTTACCTGCAGAATTCGTGATTTGCATTCTTGTCGGTTTGCCACACTATGGTTGGCGATGAGTCGAGCCCCATGAAACAATTCATTTTGCTGCTGTATGCGGTTCTCCGGATTTCGTGGGATCGGGTCTATGTGGCTTGTCGACCATGATGTTGCAGGCCAGATCGTCTCTTTTCTACAAAAATATAGTTGATAACCAAGGAAGATTGGACTGTATGTGCTGCACAAGGGCCAAGGCTGTGAAGAAGTCATGCGAAAAAAAATTCCGTTCGAATAGCAGATTGGATTTGCTCACATAGGCGTCAAGGTTCGAGATCCATTGTATTTGTATGCCATGTTTTTTTTACTTACGTTTGCAGTTATTCAGATATCCAAAAAGTAGGTTGGGCTGTGTGTTTTAGGATGAGGAGGACGAACCTCGGTGGGAAGATTGTCAAATGAAGCTTGAGGAATAGTCTCCGTGATGGGTGAGTGATATGGAAAACTAATTCGAGCCCTCCTTTTAAGATGTCATGAACAATGGCGGAAGAAGTTGCGCTGTGTGGGACCGCAAGCTATGACCTGATGGTCCATGGTAGTTTGCAGGGTTTTTGTTTTGAGGTCGCATAAGTAGTGTGCTCTGACCGTACTTACACGAACTCTGAATCATTACTGCATGGCACAAACTCTTGCATCGATTACCGAGTTGGTTGCTCCAGGGCAGATTTGATGGAGCAACTGCGAAGTCCTAGTCTACCCTGTTTGCCGTAAATATTTGCAATCCAAGTGCATGTATGTATTCGAAGATGAACCAACTATACCATGAACACATGAGGTGCTCCTTAATGCTCCGCGATGAAAACATTGAGCAAACGACAGAAGGAATGGATTGATCAAAGACCTTCGAGTTCTCATCGCACAAACATCTTGCAACACACACATGAAGGAGCTACAACCATACAGTGGCAGATATTTATCGAGATCATATCTGAAACATCATCGTCGAAGAAAATGGTGAGCGCATGATGATTCGACTGTATTGTGCATGGGGACGATGAGCGTCGCAGCAAGCAGAAAGTACACCACAAATCCAGGGAGTGACGAAAAAAAGGAGTCTAATGGCCCAGTCAAGCGCGCAAGAGTCAACATGGGCCTCCTGTATCACAGTTTTCAGAATGGCTGCCAAACCGAGTGCCGGATTGCACAGAGCATGGTTGATGATACATCTACAAGCAGCGTTATAGAATTACCCTTTGCTTAAAAGTATGAGAAACATACTATTTACTGCTGGCAGCAGCCCGCCGAGCACGCCTTTGAGCTCTCCGCCCCGAGTGTTCGTCGTTACTACCAGAAGGGTCGGAGGATTGCTTTTTGTCATTCTTTGCCTGCTTCTTGGCTTTGTGCTTTTTAACTGCACGGATAAATAACATGATCATGATGGTGTTAGGAGTAAGAGAAAGAGGAGGATCGATAGAGTGTTTGCAATAAATACTCATCGTCAAGCCCCTCTCTTTGTGATCCGAGACATTTGTCAGTCGCGGCTCATCGAAAAATTGGTGTGAAGCGTTTCATATATCTATAAGGAACCAGGCATATGAAGTCGTCTTTGTTGTTTTAAAGTCACTGGTCATGAACTTTAGGATTACATGTTACAAGTTATGTTCGACGATGATCATGAAGAAGACTATCGCGGAAGAAGCCGCTATATACGTGTAACATCACGTGATGATATAGACCCTTTAGAAGACGTGTTGAACGTTCCGCTTAAAACGTTGTCAATGTTAGTTTGACTACACGCTCACATTTCGTGTTGTTTGAATATTGTCACTCATTCCTACCCAATTTCATCCCGCAGTCATGTCGCTCGATGGAAATTCCGTTAAAATCCCTCATTCAGCTTTTGACTCTTCGTTACTCGCTACACAGCTCAATGGCACCAAGACAACAATTAACGGACATGCGTCAGCAAGTAACGAGACCTCTGAGCGATTGCAAGTCATTAATGATGAGAAGAACTTCACGTTAGTTTGCTAGCATATACGAATTTTTCTCGAGTACTCAATTACACTACTTCCAACAGAACCCACTTGACATCCCAGATAGGACGATGGGGTCTGCGCGACGCCGGCTTCAATTATAACATAGTAGCCGTCTTCGGGTCGCAGTCTACTGGGAAGAGTAAGCTGCTAAAATTCCAATTTCTGGAAGTGCTGTTCACTGAGAACTGTGGCAGGTACACTGTTAAACAGGCTATTTGGTACCACCTTTGACGTCATGGATGAGACAAGACGACAGCAGACTACGAAAGGTAAATATACGGACTGTTGACTTTCGTATCTTTGCTAACTCAGCTTGAGGTATCTGGATGTGCCGAGGGAAAGACATGGCTGTGATGGTCATGGACGTGGAAGGCACGGATGGACGAGAGCGTGGAGAGGACCAGGTATGAATGAGTTTCAGTTAATAATGGATATTGTCATTCAATCGCTCTCAGGACTTTGAACGCAAATCCGCTCTTTTCTCCCTTGCTTCGTCAGAGGTACTTCTTATCAACCTCTGGGAGCACCAAGTTGGCTTATACCAAGGTGCAAACATGGGTCTTCTCAAGACCGTGTTTGAGGTCAACCTTGGTCTTTTCGGCAAGAAAGCTCAAGATGGGTAAGGTCATTAAGTGCCAATCCATTTTCGCATCCTTAAGTTCTTCCACGTGCAGCTCTCAAGGGCGTACTCTGCTACTATTTATAATCCGAGACCATATCGGTGTCACTCCTCTCGCGAACCTCCAAGCTACCCTTACAGCAGACCTCGAGAAAATCTGGGATTCCCTTTCTAAACCGCAAGACCTCCAGGATCGTCAACTTTCGGATTACTTTGACCTCGCATTCACAGCACTACCTCACAAGATACTGGCTACAGATAAATTCGAAGCTGAAGTGCAAGAACTGCGGAAACGGTTTGTGGACAAGACGAGAGATGATTTTGTCTTCAAGCCCGCCTACCACAAAAGAATTCCCGCTGACGGTGTGGCGTTCTACATGGAAAACATATGGGTAGGGAAATGATTCATGTTCACAAATCACGCACTGAAGATGAAACATTTTAGCAACAAGTACAAACGAACAAGGACCTTGATCTGCCTACTCAGCAGGAACTCCTCGCACAATTCCGATGTGACGAGATAGCGTCCGTCGCGCTCGCAGACTTCACAGAACAGTCGAAGTCGCAGCGGAGACCTATTGAGGCGGGCCATGTTGTGGAAGGTCTCGGTGATTTAATGCGGGATTGGAAGTCCCAAGCACTCAGTGAAGATCCTATTCCCATTTAAATTACATACGTTCTTATGCATTTTATAGGCCGCTACGACCGTGATGCATCTCGCTATCACCAAGGGGTATACCAGCGCAAGCGTACCGACCTTCTTGGGGTTATGGATTCGACACTTTCTCCTCTCTTCCTCGGGCAGCTCAAGAACTTGCACAAGTCATGTCTAAGCTCCTTCAAAAGGGAGCTTCTTGAAGGCTTGCGTGGTGATGAGTATAGCTTCGCGGACGTAGTTGGGAAGGCGCAGACAAAGTGCGAGACACGGTTCGCCGATGGTGCGAAGGAGGTCTCGCTGGAGGACACTGACTGGACGTGGCAGGACGAATTCGAGTCTCTCAGAGAGGAGATTGGTAATGTGGCTGACCAGTGCAGGAAAGATGAGACGAAGAAGATGATCAACTTGATTGAGGTATGTTGTCCGAGAATTGGCTTCGATATTCATTCAAATATTTTCATAGAGGAACTTCAAAAAGCAAATTTCTGAGCCGGTCGACATTAGTCTCAACAAAGCTACACCAGACATGTGGGACAAAGTCTTGAGCACGTTCAAAAAAACGCTCGAGAAGGCCGAGTCAACATATCTGGCAAAGGCGAAAAGTGAGTTATTTCGCCTTCTTTATTACGTTGCTCTCAACAATGTGTGATACAGGCTTCAACTGCACGGATGATGAGAATGTAGCATCCCTCGCTGCTCTGCGGAAACGTGCCTGGCTCGTTCTAAGGGCCAAGATCGACGAGCAAACTGCTGATACTGTGATCCTCGGCAAGCTTCGGACTCATTTCGAAGAGCGCTTCCGCTACGATGAGAATGCTGTCCCCCGAGTTTGGAGACCCGATGATGATATTGATGGGGCCTTCAAGGCAGCTAAGGAGCAGGTACGTGTCTGTGTGAGTTTTTTCCTGCATAAACTTACATTTGAATGGTGTTCCAGACCATTGATCTGATCCCTCGTTACGCCAAGATCACACCCATTGATTCTTCCCTTGAATTTGTACTACCCTCAGAAACCTCTGATTCCCTCAATTCCGCGGATGAATTTGATTTCCCATCAACGCTCATCGTCTTTACTGAGACGAAGTGTATTGACCTTACTTCTCGCTTCCGAAAGGACGCAGATGCATACTACGTCGAAGCGAAACGCAGCACTGTGTCAAGTATTGCACAAATCCCATACTGGATGTACGGTGTTCTCGTCGTGCTTGGCTGGAATGAGGCTATGGTGGTGTTGTTCAACCCTCTGTATTTCACGTTTACTTTGATGGCGCTAATAACTTCGTACGTATATGATTTCAATTCTACTATCGACGAAAATCCTCACTTGACCATCTGTTACCTTTCAGCTACTTCATTGTCAAGCTGGGTTTGACAGGACCTTTGTTTCAAGTTTCGAAAACAGTCCTGGCTGAGGTATGTTCTATAGCTCAATTCTGTTACTTTTCTTGTCTCATCGATCATTGCTGCGATAGGTGCAGACACAAGCTACTAACCGCATGAGGGACCACTTTTCGCAACCTGTTCTAGCACAACCCGTGCGAACAAATTCCTTCAGGGATTACAATGAGGATAGTGATCAGGAAATGAGGGGATTGAGGTCGGAGCCTATGTAACTTCTTCCTTCATTACTCGGAGCCATTTGTTTTTATAATTCAGAGCATGGTCTAGATTTGTCATTATGCATAAATTCATGTAATTCTCACTTCTACCGCTCGAGGCACATGTAATTGACTTGGGATATTCTGTGTATATAAAACCATTCCCTAGGCTTGAGTACGAAAAAAATGATCTGACTCAGGCTCGAACTGAGGACCTTCTGTGTGTTAGACAGATGCGATAACCAACTACGCCATCAGACCGATGGGAAGGGCTCTCATTGCGTCATCATGATATTAATACGATGCCTTATGTAATACCAGCATGCGTCTCGCATCTAGGCAGACTGTCGCATCCTCTACCGTGGCCACTGCAATGCGTCCTGGCTATGCATTTTTAGACTCGAGTTTAATGCAATTTATAAAAGCAAAACGATTCTGAATTTGACCTGGGAAGAAATGTGCCCAATAATAATATCCATATGATGCGACAACGTTCCAACGTTTCAAACGCATCAACAAATGGCTCAAACATCCTACAGCATGCCATCTTGCTGTACTGCTGTTGGCCGTCGATGCATCGCCTGGTATGAATTTAGGCCTTTTGTGTGCTCCATTTCACAAGGCAAGGACCCACGACGAGATCCGACACTAGTGGCAGCATACACATAAACATAAACACAGGCCATCTCCAAAACCCTCCATCGCGACCATCTGACACTTGTGATGAGCTCTGAGCAGTGCAGACAAAGTGTCAACGGCCCCTGGATAATAGCCAGTTTGACACGAGTCAGAAGCGCCATTGAGATATTGGATACCCATTCCGAGTGTAACCAAGTATCCAAATTGCTGTATATCAAATTCGGGAAGAGCGACTAGCCACAATATTGTCCGGGCCTGCCGCCTGCCAGTGTAAGGTTCAAGGAGCTGATACCGACAGGCACTGCAGCATTAACGCCGGACGGAAACGTGTGCGCTGTGCTCGTCGGACAAGATAGCCGGCTGCCGGATCTGGAGTTATGTACAATGTGTCGTTCCATCTTGGTTTCTTGGGGGTTCCTATCTCTGGCACGGCGATACTTGTAAAATGCCACCGCTGCGGATGTGTCAATTCATAAATTAAGTTGGCGTCGCGTTGAAGCTTTAGTGTTTTACAATATTAATATCTATAGGTCGTATGAGTAAAAGGATCAATGTGCTGCGAAACGGGAACTCTTCCGCAATCGCGCGCCAATTCGGTAAAATATGAATCTGACGTTCAGAAATGAGGGTCAATGTTGCATATGACTTGGTGTTTGTTCGACTCACGGTAATGGCGCCATGAGCGTTGCGAGGCCGGCCAAAAGAGCGGTAGCACCAACAGTCCCCAGTCTATCATATATGGCTCTAGCGAATAGCGGGAATGCAGCGGCAAATGCTGATCGCATTGCGCTGTTACTTGCCATGGCAGAGGCAGCGATTGGGCGGTAGGCGGTGACGAGGTACGTGAACGTTGACGTAAAAACAAAATATATCCCTGAGCCGAAAGGTACAGATGCAATGATTGGGGCAATCCAGTGGACTTGCGGATATGTAGTGAACGCAAGCCAGAACAAACCTGTAGTCATGGTAAGCATTACGCGACCAAGAGCCACTGGTTACTAACCCACTGGCACGAGTATAGCTCCAACTTGACCCATAATAAGCCTCATCTCAGGAGGTGGATCACCATTGTATTTGGCAGTTTCACGGGCATATAGTCTAAAAAAAAGTGTCATTAATATTGATACTGATGCTGAACACCAGAGAAAAAGCGACCTGTTCCAGAGCGGTTGTGTGGAAATGGCCGAAAGCATCCCGAGTCCAATTCCAATGAACGCTAGTCCAGTGGTTTGCATATTAAAACCATGAATATCTCCGAAAATGATAGGGAATGCTTGGAATGCCAAGTATAGGATTCCAAGAATAAGAGCATTCCTGGAATGGTCAGTACTTACACCGAGTGTCAATGAGTTGCAAATATTGCCCTTACCAGGAATCCAAGAGCAGTGCCATTCGGTCGCATAGAAGTAATTCTAGTAAAGGTCCCACATCATTACTTGTGATGGAGCGCAGTTGATCCCTGATAACTTACGAAACGGTGTGTGGCAACTGACGAGGATAGCAGAAGCGAGGCTGCCTTCCCGTCTGTCCAAAGGAGCGTAAAACTTCGAATCTCCAGTCGACTCCCGTAGTCTGTCAAGCAGATTAATGTATCGCGCAAAGATGAGAAAAAGGACATGCACTCCTACCTTTTCGCCTTCCTTTTCAGGATTACTGGGACGTACGTCTCAGGAACAAACTAAATTCAAAACATCAATCGATCGATCTCACAAAAGAAATGCAAGACCCACTGTAGACAACATCAGCAACTCTACAAAAATCCAGCACAATTGCACTCGATACGTCCATTCCCAGTATAGGTGCTATCAGAAAAATGTCACACGAGGATCAAGGATCAGGCCAAATGAGTCTGACCTGATTGATGAATCTGCGTCATCACGTCATATCAGAAACAGTGCTGCCAATGAGCGCGAAAAATGTACCCAGCAATCAAAGGACCAGCCACGGGTCCGATAAGTGGAGATCTTCAAGATGATCAATCACATCATTTAGCCGCTAGCGTTGTTCAGGTGAACTTACATTGTATACACGGCCATTGGACTTGCCACGTGATTCAGCAGAATATCAAACAGAACGCAAATCCAAGGGCCTACCTTGCAATACTCGAATTCGGAAACATATCGCTTACACTACCTCCAGCTACACTCAAAAAGGCTGATCCGCAGAATCCAGTGATAAGGCGAAAGACCAAGAAAACAGCTGTTGTTCTGTTGTAGATCTATCATCCATTCCGGTAGTAAATGTACTCACCGATGTTAGGAGCGAACACTATGGGGAATGTGAAGATGAAGAAAAACACATAAGATGCTTGGTATACAACATTTCGGCCTGCTCAATTCCATGAAAGTATACTTTTGGATAGAAATAATGGACGTACCATACAGTTCGGACAACGGGCCAACGAGGAGCGGACCAATTCCGAGGCCTGTCACATACAGACTAATTCCGAGAATGGTCACTTCATGTGAGACATGGAGCGTTTGGGCGGCACCCTGTTCTGTGAACGCAGCCTGGAGCACGGTTAGTCTCGACCAAAAATGAGATATAAAATGACTCGCAATCGAAGAATCACACGTCACGCATAGAGAGGCGGAACTGATGATTAGGACTGCAAGCCACCGTCTGAACAAGGACATATTCTGCGGATTATCCTGTGGCTCGAGGACGACGAGGTGTGGATCACCCTCGGCATCTTGTGAGGCAGACACGTCGGTTTTTATGGTAGCAGCATCGTCGTTGGACTGGGTAAATGACCCAGACTCGGATATCCTTGTCAACGCTGACATCACGGTAGGGCACAAGTCCAACTTGAAGGACCTCTTGGACTATAAAGAAAAATGGATGTCAGTTTGTGTAAGCAGGCGCGAAGTGGATGACTGATGCACTTAACACCAAATGCCATTTGTGAGGTATGGTTGTAGCGGCGGCCGCCTCATGAAATGACCGACGTCGGCATGAATCATGATGAGCGTTTGAACAGTCCAGATGTGACCAGATTGGACCAAGTCACCAATATGCGTCTGCGACTGGTAATTGCAGAGTCCCCTAGACTATAAATGTGTTTGCCCGGTATTCCCACTGGCAGAAGATGTGATGCATTCGAGAGTCGAGATCGGTAGTAAGAACGGATCATGAGTTAGTATAAGTCTTCGGGAGCCTGTCCGATAAATTTAGAAATAAGAATGTGTAAGTTAATATTATGTAATATTGTTGACACCGCCAAGGTCCAACCAAAGCCCGACGGCTGAACTTGGCTTCAGGGGGTTCACTTGCATGTCATTTCCGGCGCCCCTGCCAGGCGTAACCCTTCTTCGTACGGCCTCCCGCTTTCATCGCTACACACTTCTATGACAGGGATACGACGGATGTATGTACTTTTTTTATCGAAACTGTACTAACCAGCGTGTACAGTTATCTTTTCACACTTGCAAGTAGAGGGAGGCCAACTTGGCCAGGTGCTGTTCAAACCTGTGTGTCAGGGTCGGCCCGTAATGCGCTCAACACTGCTTTGTGATCTCCATGATTGCGGCATTGGTATTCTTGGATTGGCACGTTCCCTTCCTCCTTCCTTGCCAAGTTGAATTCCAAGCCACGGTGAAATGGTTATTTCGGTCAATCAGATACCGTCCCTTAGATCTCACTTCGGCAATTCAAGCGCTGGATGGTGGTATATTAATCACGAGCGCGATTGTCATACATCCACCAAGTTTGCCGCCGCTCCTCTCTAATACCATGACCCTAGTTTCGAATGATCCCAGCTGGTGGCCATTCATCAATTCATATCGTATTTTCAGCTATTTTACAGGTTCGTGGAGACATACAGATGATGACATGACTAACCTTGGCCGCGGTTGTACAGTCGCCGCCTCTGTTGGGATAATATACGATTGGGGTGAGTAAGACTGAGTATGAAAGAACCGCTGACATCCTTATCGTATTCTCAGTGCTCACGTTTGGACAAGAGGTAGGTCGATTCATTACTGGTGTAGCTATCTCACTAATAATAGATCAATAGGTTGAACTCTTCTGGGTGAGCAGATTCAGACGTGGCGTTAAACTATCTCTAATTCGTAGCAGAAGGGACGTCGGTCCCTGATGACCATTCTGTATCTCAGCGTATGTAGCTATGTTTAGCAAGTCGTGCTGACGCGAACACATCCTAGACACGCTATGTTGGGATAGGATATGTTATGTATGTGAAAGACTAGAAAATTGACATTGTGCTGATCATCGATCTCTCACAATCAGCCTCAAGATGCTGAGTATGTCATCTTATATTCACTGTGTTCGCTTCTTCTGACTGGCGGCGTACAGCTAATGTTCCGACAATTTCAATTACAAGCTCAGTGAGTACTCCGCGCCGATGACTTCTATGCCCACTGAACTTCCATGTAGGGGTGAGTGAGATTCTCGACCAACTTATCGATTCAATATAACGACTGCTGTAGCTGTAAGTTTGTTTTGAGCGTGTGATCTTTCGATGTTGGTAACTAATGCTAGATTTTTCAGGCCGTATCATGTACATTACACTGGAAAGCACGAATGAGGTCGTGGCTGTGATCTTGGGCGGTAAGCTATACACCTCTGTGATATATTGAGCTGACCAAAACATCACGCAAGTCATCTTGATCGCTCGGCTGAATGCTATGTATCAGCGATCCAAAAAGATGCTGGCATTTCTTGTTGTCATCTTTCTGCCCATCAGAATCGCCAACACAGTGATGGCCGCAATGTCCATGATGCATATTTCCGTGGGTAAGCTTCAATTATGGACGAAAGACTTGGCTGCATCACGCTCATTGACGAATACCAGAGGAAGTGGTTCTCTCCGGCACCTATGGATGCAAGATTGACTACGTGGGAAATACCGTGCTTCTGTATGCTATCACCTGGATACTCGACATTGGATTGGAGCTCCTTCTGTTGGGTCTCACACTTAGGATTGCTGTAAAGCGCTTGCGTGAACTGCGACAATACTCAAAAAGAGGTATTTTTGGGGACTGTTGGACGGTGTTGGTGAAAACTCACCTGTGTTATTTTGCGAGGTGAGCTCGTGATGTGAAAATAGTTTCCTTTCCGCTGAAGTTCTGCACATGCCAGTTTTGTTGCAGTTTCTTGCCTCTACGTCGCGTTTTCTTCTCCGACGCTCTCAGGGGTATGTTGGTTTGTTGTCCATCTTCACATGTGGCCATAATTCACCATCTTCATAGAAGCTGAGTTCTGTGGAAACTCAAATTTATCTTGGTGTAGCGCAAATCTTTCAGTTCGGGCAGATGTTTGTGCTGGGACCGCGCCTGATCCTTAGTGTTCGAGGTCATCATGCCGAGGACCTAGCTGGCCCTGAGCCGGATACAACAACTGCTCTTACCTCAATTACTTTCCTAAAGCGCGTCCACTTAACTAGCGGCAGTGTGGAGATACTTGATGTAATTGATATACAGTAAGCGGGTAGTCTATAGGGAGAGAACTTATCTTGGGTTAATGTATTCTAAGTCTCGTCGTGGAACTTATCTACTGTACATGTGTAACATAGGCTTGGTCAGTGTTGTCGCCGTTATTCAACTTATTTGGCGTTGTGAAGTAGACGTTTGCCATTCTGTGATGAGGACTGTATATCAACACGTTTGTTGGACCGCCTGAGCTGGATGTGTAATATATATGCTATGCTATGCTACGCAGTAGTACTAATGACATAAGGTAAGAATAAGAAGTAGTGGCAAGCGCGTAATTAATACAAAAGGGGCGACAATGGCAAGTATACATTTAAACAACCGATAATATACCTCTCCAACAGATACATAGGTAGATAGCGACTTTCACGATATACTCAGGACGAGCGTGGTCGTAGACTCAGCCCACTTGTGACGACCCCGCGGACCTGCGCGGACAGTTGTTTGATGTGAAGAGCCCGGACCACGTCATCCAAGAGGGCTCTGAAAGGTGACGTAGAATGGTCACCTCCAGACGACTGCCGCGGCAGCTCTCTTGCATCGGAGGCGGGATACTGCGCCATGATCCGGAAGATATGTTCGCGGGACTCATCGAGGTATTTGTCGTGACTTAAAGTGATGCAAGTATGTTTGGCGATGATGTCCAGTTGAGCCTGAAACGTCGACGAATTTTCGGACCACCATCTGTCGATAGTATGAGTAGTAGCACTGGGCTGCTGCTCCTCGAAATGAGTGACAACGAGTACGACGGGCACTTTTCTTCCGTTCAATTCGCCCTGGATTTTGTTGTGAATGTCGAGCACCGCTTGCACACGAAAGTTTCTACTCGGTACGCAAAGCAGTATCAAGTCAATACTGCCTTGGCCGGATATTTCTCCGATCTGCCGTTTTTCATACTTCTTTGGCCGTTCCTTGGGCACAGAGGAAGGACCGTTACTGCATGCAAACCCAACAGTATCAAACACCCTATAGGCGGTGTCGCGAAAAGAAATTGGGTATTCCTTCAACTCTCCCGTGCAGCGCCCGGCGTCGATCGATGTGTCCGCGACACTTTTCCTAGATAAAAGATTGATGAGGGAACTTTTACCAGCACCAATGGCCCCGGCAATGACGACAGTACACTGGACTCATCAGTTAGTGACACGTGCCGTCCGAAACTAGGAGCATATGATACCTCTCTGGTCGGTGAATCGACAAGGACAGGTGGGTTGTTGCTATCTGTTATCGAGATAGTAGGCGATAGAGGTGATGGCTGCGCCACGGTGGACGTGTTGCGAGTTCGTGAAGATGCGCCATCATGTGAATCAACTGGCTGCGACGTCTGCGTGTTACGCCACACATTTCGCATGTGATTAGTATTTGAGACGTAGTTGTAATCGACAGGACTCACTAAGCAGCTTAAGTATGACGATGCAGAAGGGGTGATGGTAGGAGTGTTGGTAGGAGTGTTGCCGTCACCTCGGGGATGTAAATGACCGACTACATTTGCAATCGGTTCTTGGATGTGGCTTGGTATCTCCGTATCTAGCTTGTGCAAGACGATAGTAGGGATATCTCTATTTGATGCCTTTGTCATCGACTGCTGGATGGGAGCTTCGATACGTAGCTCCTCTTCGATAAAAACCGCGGCATCTTGACTTGATGGCCTACTGCCAACTTGAACTGAAGTACACTCGCAAATAAACTGTTTGCGCTCCTTAGAAAGATGGTTGTTGGAAGGAAAGGGCATCGACTTCTTCGCGTGATGAGCTCCGACAATAGCTAGATCACTATAGACATAGGTGTACCATGGAAGCTTTTCTGTGAAGACCTTTCCAGCAGTTAGTGAGCTCCTCGGTAAGACGGCAATAGTCGAGAAGCGCCTACATTAAGCATTATGCAGCCAAGAGAATAAATGTCGCTGGGTACATTCGGTATTGATACCGGCGGCTCATTGTCGACCGCTGAATCCATTCCGGTAGGTTGGCTTGTCGCCTCTTCTGCCACCAACAGTTCTGGTGCAGCAAATCGCACTGCCCCTGGTCGTGCTACGGAGAGTGAGAGGCAACTACCAGCCATGCCGCCAAGCACATTCGATAACCCGAAGTCGATTAACAATGCTTTTCCACTGTCATCAAGGACAACATTAGTCTGCCAGAAAAGAGTGCTTAATGTTATATGTCTTGTATAACAGACACGCCTCTTACAGTTGTGAGGTCACCATGGACAATCTTTCGAGAGTGTACTGCAAAAACCTGGTTATATACAACAGGATGAATGAAAAAATGATAACGAACGATACGCCAAGCCAATAGTAACATCTTTGATCTGCGAAATATTTGAATAGGTTGTGTGGCGGAACAAAGAAATACGCACCAAAGTCAATTTTTTTCCTGCAAGGTATGTTTCCTTCATGATCCCGGAGATAGAGTGCAAGTGTCCCGCCTCCCATCCAGGGAGAGACCATAGCAAAGCCTTCTTCTGTAAATCCCTCCGCAATACCGAGCAAAGGGACGATATTATCATGTCTTGCTGCCATCCATAATCTCATCTCACGACGTGCACGCTACAGTTAGACGTTATCAACAATGTTTCGTGTAAGAAATGAAAGTAAAGGTCAACCTTCTTGGAAGCATGTATTAGGACCTTGACAGCCACCTGCGAGATGTGAATACCCAAGGTAGTGTTAATAATGAATAAACCTACCAAAGCCTCTGGAGCCTCTGGCGCCCCTGCCCGCTGCATTATGCACTGAAAAACCTGTCCATAGCCCCCCACAGCTGCCGGAAATTCCTTCACTTTGATTAGCTGTTCTCTCGGAATGACGGGACACTCGATAGTAGATGCAGAAGCCATCAAGTGCTACGACGAGCTACGGCAAGGAGAGAGCGCAGTCCGAGTGGTAAGATCCCAATATCAGAGTTTGATGAACATCGAAGGAGCCAGGATATATATAAATGAGGCGAAGACCGTGAGGCGCCACTTGCTGTAGTAAGATAGACTTTGAAACAATCTACCGTCACCGCCATGATGCATCGTTGTTGATTAGCGGTCATATCGACAGACGATGCAAGACAAGCTGAAGCTATTTGATTAATTCCAGGGCACGCTACATACCTCATGCATTCCGTGTACTTAGCCATAATATAATAGCCTGACAAGCTTGAATTCATAACACGAGGATAGATACCTACATGGACCTGTGCCGGCTACAATACTTCTGCCGTCATAAGCAGCACAAGAGAGTCAGCGGTAGTGAGACGTTCGCAAACGTCACAATATTTCCCTAGCTGAACGTTCCGCCCGTGCCCCATCACGGTATCAGTCTGCCACCAACTTGAAGGGTCCAGAAGTCCATTTGCCTCAAGGTTTTGAAGGGGCTTGGGCTGCGATTCGGGCAGTGTAGAAAAGACACTCGCCTAGAGGGACTTGCGCCTGATAGAAGGGACATATATGAAAAGAACTTGGTGCTGTCTTCTGCATACATACATGCACTAGGATCAAGATCGTGGCTGGGTCCAGCCTCATTCCTGTACCCGAAAAAAAGAAGCAAATACCTGTTACGGATTACTTGCCGGGAATTACCGGCACGTAACTCGAACCTTGCCGGCTGAAAACCCAAGTTGGCCGAGCCTCCTACCTCAGAAAAAACTCAAGATGTTGCCAACCTTGTCCAATTGTATGTGCAGCTATAGTACTAGTCATACTCGTCGCCTTGTGAGCTAAACACATGCCTCAACGCAATTGACTTCTTTAGTTCTCGAAGCCGTGCTCACCAGCCGCATGGATTGTGACGCCATCCAACTACTACCCGGCGAACAACTTGAACGCCTACAGGTTCTCTGATGTCAGTCACTATGACCCGGGCGTCACCTGCACAGTGCAGACTCAGCATGTCCAGTGGCTTCGGACCAGTACCCCCATATCGCACAATTGAAATGTAACGGCCGTGCTCGAGTTAAGTGCCCCCCACGGTCAGTGGGGATAGGGTCCAATCGTCTGACTGACATGCAGTCGTACCTGTTGTGTTTGACACATACTGTTTGCACAGGACCCTATCAATACGCATGCTTAGGTGAATCTCTCTGCAAGCAAGAGTTCAGGAAACCCTGCCACTGCAAGACGGAGAACAGGGGCCCAACTTGCATCCAGCAGATCTGGAAGGTACTGTTGGCTCTCCATGCACAGGATGGGCTAATGTCTTAATTCCTGGTCGAACGCCATGACCAAAAAGTAGGGTCAGTCTTTTGTAATCTGTTCGGTCAGCAAACTAGGCCTAAAGAGCCCGAGTCATTTAGTGAATCTTGTTTTGTCATGCTCTAGGCTCTGTCGTCAAACGAACTCTGATTATTGGCAGTTTTTATCAGTCAATCAAAGCATGGGTTTTGTTACCCACAAACCCTTGATTCAAGTTAAACTCGGACTCGGTCACAACCAATGCGGTAATTCTGGCAGCCCTTCAAGCTTCAAGTCTTTATTGAATCCCCCTTTTTACTTTAGAGTGGAGTCCTTTGCAGGATATATGACCGGACACTTTCTCGTCATGAGTTTTCTTCCGTTAACCCCCTTTATTTTCGTTCTAGGCTAACCTAACGTTGACAGCACATACAATATAGTAATACGAAGTGAATGTAATTGAGAGCAGTAAGCGGCCCTGTTCGTATTGAACTCAATGTACTGCAATCACTAAAATCCGCATCAGGATATAAGCTAATATATGCTTTTATGGGTTATGCATAACCTCATGTATCAGATAAGACGAGATAGCTGCCCTCCTTTTATTGGTCGACCAAGGGAGACTGTATTACGGTGTGTACGGGAACTGTCACATTCTAAATTTTTCATTTGAGTTGAATGGATGACCTGACACCAAAAGCGTAATTAGCACCTGAGACGCTGTAAGTATCAATCAAGGCGCCTTGAAACCATGCCATACCAATAAGCGACCTTGCTCTTGACGCACGTTCAATAATGACGCCCGAGAAGTACCCTGACAACACACCTTAGCCTCGCTGAAACTTTGTATACGCATGCACACACCCAGCTATCAGCAGGCCAATAACCACACTACGTGACGTTGGACTTCTCGTTGCCGACACTACGCATGTGCGCAAGCCTCCAGGTTAGCTTCCACTTTCACCCCTTGAACACATCTCTGTTGTTCAAAGAATATCACGCCTCAATACGAATTGCGTACGAATGAGAGGTACGGCGCAAAGCAGCTTTGATTCGATTTTGGAAGAAATGCCCTCAGTGAGATGGTATGGATATTGACAAAAATTTAGTTAATACTGACATACCACACGTGTTGCATTGTCTTTCTTTGCATCTTAATCCAACAAGTGAGAGGTCATTAGCCTCTCACGGAAAACGGACCTCTCAAATACAACCACGCGCTCAAGAAATTTGTCAATCAAGTCGATGTTTGCGGTACCTGCAACGTCGCTGAGGTGCCACCTTTTAAATCATTAAGACCGCTGGTTCTAAAACAGCCACCTTAGCCCGCTTGAAAATCATTCATTTCCAATTTGAGCTAGAATGGAGTATGTTCTGAGTAGAAATATCAAAACATGTTCAAGTCTGAACGCCGTTTGACAAGATGAGGGGAACAAACCTAGCTCTTCAGCCAGAAACCCCAAGGTTGAAGGACGGGACGAGGAGTGAATATGGTGAGATATTAGTTTGTTAGGGCCTGTCTATTTGTGAAACCGTGACCATTGCATGTATTCCACGTCCGGCTGACGAACGAGGGACCAGCCCCTGCGGGATTAACAAAGGTAGCCGTTTCAGACGCATACCACATATAAACGGTCAAATCATCTTTAAGGACTGACACAAAGCCCCAGCAGGGTCGGGGATTCCCCACGCTGGGACACAGCCTGGGGGACACTGGAGACTGTTGTCCTACATAGGGTACAAGGACAGAAATTTGATTCCAAAAAAGTACCTACGGTAAGCGTTAAACGGCATGCCGCAGGAGCACATACATATATACTGCCGCCACTAAATAATAGCACGGTCCGAGAACCACGCTGTCAGCGCTCAGCGCTCAGCACCTGAGGCGGGTTTGTGATGACATCATCCCGACGACTATAGTATGAACTCAAGCTCCACAAAGACGAGGAGTGTGTAACATGTTTCTACTGTTAATTAAATTTCGTAAGCAAAAATCGCACAGAGCACAGAGCCTGAAGAGAAATTTCTCGGTAGATGATATGAAGATGGTGTACATAGTCCAGTGGCATAGCAGTAGAGCTAAAAGTAGCTCTGCCTAGATGACACAAGAACTGGCTGGTGTATCCGCTGTGCACTGTTTCGCGTCATAATTTCCATCTGATGTCATACCTCTTTATTCAGTGTGGATAATGCGATGCGGTGGCCGGGTTGTGCGATGATCGGTCCGAGAGCATTGGCTGTTCGTATGATGTACATCTGAATCCGTGTCGCTCGGGATCAAGGTCGACTATGTGTACGAGTACGACACATAAGTAGGCTTTAGAAGCTGCAAGACAAGTGCCTGTTGCAGGGACGCTGGCGTAGGACTGATATATCCCCTTCTTCTCGCGCTCGCGGGTACAAATACCAGGGGCCACCCTGGGGACCTTACCGGTGACTCTGACAGCGTGTTGCCGCTGTCAACTTCATTGGCGCTCAACGACTGTTTTAAATGACATCATCACGAGGTTTCGCGGGAGTGGGTGTCGAGAAAGGGTGAGTAGATATGGGTTGATATGGGTAGATGAAAAAATGTGCTCATTTGGATAGAGATAGCCCTGGGTAGACGATACCATCGGAAAGTAATCAGCGATATAAGGTAGGAGTGACTAGGATAAAATTTGAAGTCAATGAATTTCGTAGGTGAAAATCAGGAACATCGGAGTTTTAAAACTTCTTGCCACGTGGGTGTATATGTTCTCCAAGGATTGTCAAGCAACTGCCTTCTCCGGTGAACATGTCATCTTCATTGGGTTTACATATTGTAGACCCAAAAATTTTAAGTGACCAAGTAGGAGATGCGTGAGTTCTCAATCAATCTGCTACTAGGAAAAGTCTAATAACTGATAATAATCAGTTCTTCAATCATACCACCCATGTCTCTCACAGCTCCACCTTCTCGACATAAACCTACAATGTCATCTATCTCTCAAGATAATCTTTATTCTAATCTCGCAACTTTCACTTTCGGTGAAGCTCGCTCAACTTCATCAGGCGACGAGTCATCAGACGCAATCAGCCCACTCACTCCAATAACACGCCCAGGCGCTGATAGGACCCCTCGTCCATCCGTTTCAACTTTTAGCAGTCATCCTTCACAGGGTCTAGGACGCACAGTTTCAAGTACCTTCCCATCATCTTTACGCTCTTCAAGATCATACAGAACAGAACACACAGATGAAGAAAGCAGTGAAGATCCCTCATCGCCCGATCTCTACCCGAGACGCGGCTTCCAAAGAGGTCGTTTGGTCTCAGACAACGTCAGCCAGCACACATTCGGTCATCCAGCAGTACGCGGCTCAACAGCCTCAATCACTTCCTCCCGCTCAAGCTCACGTCTAAGTCTTCGCTCAGACCTCCAGTTTAGCAGTGACGAGGAAGTAGAGATCGCTTCATACGACGGAAGCTCCTCACCTGTCACTTTCGCCCGTGACCTCGATAACATCGACGAGAATGAGAATAGCCCTGTCTTTCATCCTCGTCCCCTTTTCGCGGAGCGCCGTCGTGGCAGCCTTCCAATGGCAATCCCAGGTGCCATATCAGATGCAGTCAGCAATCGCAGCCGCGAAGACAGCATCCTTACCATCCGTCGTCCATCTCGCAGCCTCGACGACGATTTCATGCCTTCCCACAGCGAAGAAGATCCAGCTGCTGTCGCACCACGCAGCGAACCCCTCACCCGCGCTGATTTTCGTTCACTTGAGGCCCAGGTGCAACAGCAGCAGTCAGAACCAGATACATGGGAATCCGGCTGGGATCTGTCCTATGTTCTCTCGAGAAAGAGTGAAGGAAGCATTCATTCCGTCCGATCGACCGCTCAGCTATCCTTTCTCGCTCCTGCACGGAACAGCACCAGCATAGGCGAACCCTCTCGTCTCTCCAACATGTGGGGCAGCAGCGGACGCCGTACCAGCACCGGCACACTTCAAACCACCAATAGCGGCGAAGATACCTTTGCCAAGCACATCGGCATGTACGACACTCAAAACCAGTGGGCTTTCTGCAAGGAAAAAGCAGACGCCCAGACCGTCCCCATCATACGCCGTCCGAATGCCCAAGCAGGCGCCTTAGTAATTATGGACAAGGCAAAACATACCATGCACCCCGGCACACAAGAGATATGGAGGAGCGGGAACGTCGGTCGATTTCGAGTCGACAGACTCGTCTTCAAACGTATGTCCTTTTTATGTCCTCGTCTTATATACTAAGATCCTGCTACCAGCATCCACAGCAGACCCTGCCAAAGCCGCCCAACAGCGCATCAACATCCGGCATATCCCCGATCCCTTCATCAAGGGTCCAAAGACAGGCGGTCCGAGCACTGTCATCCACAAACATTCTCGCGCAACTGCATTCTCCATATTTCGCTCTTATTCGCTTTTTACGTCTAAACGCGCTGGGCCTGTATCTCGCAATATCCATATGCATACAAGTGGAGGAATCATGCTCGCGCCGAAGAAAGTGCAAGAACAATATACGAGTACGAAAACGACAAGTAAACTCATTACGCATGGGTTACTCGAGGATAGATCTCGCAAAGCCATCGGCAACGGAAGCAGTGATAAATCACGTCGTGGTACTCTTCTTGAAAAGGAAAAACGGCGGGAGAAGGACAAAGAAGATGCAAAGAAAGCAAAGGGGAAAGCCAAGGAAAAGAAGAAAGAATCGAAGAAGAATAATGACCGTGACCGCGTGAGTAATCCGACAGAGAGTACGGAGTCGAGCGCAACGACGAGTAGTACGGGGAGCATCAGCGCTTCTCCTGTGATATCTGTCCCTGTGCGAGCTACGACGTCCAAGATCATGTTTGCGCCTTCGATCGTGCCCCCTAGGTCCCCTATCAAGACTCAGTCTACGAGCGGGCCGTCATCACCAGATACCTCATCAACATTCGATCACTCCTCCAAGAAACTCCTGCAGTCTGAATCCTCGACAAGCGTAGCAACCTCGCACATCCGCGGCCATCGGGACAGCATCGACTCTGACGAACACCTCCCCACACGTACGCCGCACGCCGAAGCCTTCGGCACCCTCGACCCCAACGACATCGAGCATCTCCGGCGTGCCCAGAAGCCCACTGACGGCAGCAGCAGCTTCGCGAACCGCATACTCCGACGCTTCCGAGGTGCAGCTAACCGAGTAGACAACATCACTCAACCAGTTGCGACACCCCAAAGCGCGTATAGTCCTCCATGGATCGTCACCGCTGGCAGAGACCAGAATGAGGAACATGTACGTGTGCTCACGGATCTGAATAATTCGTTTAGGGATGTTGGGTTGTTGCATACGCAACCAAGCCATAAGACGGGGAAGAGTACGGGAACGGGAACGGCGAAGAAGAAAGCGGTGACACATGATATTTTTGATTATGTCCCAGAGGACTCGCTTTATATGCTTCTGCCACTTTGGGCAGGGGAGACAGATCCGGGTGTTGGGGGTGGGAGCATCATGACGGGGAGTAGCGTGGTGGGGATTGGCAGCATCAGCGAAGGTAGCACCGCCTCCGCCTCCACGACTGCATCGGCCGCTACGACAGCCACAAGCGCCACACTCGTCACAATCCCCGAAGACCGCCAATTCCTCCTCGTTTGGTACGTCCCCTTCGAAGACAAGAACAAAAATTCTTCCTCCTCTAATTCTAACTCCAACTCCGCGTCCGCATCCGCGAACAAGAAAAAAGTGAAACAAATGCATTCGACGAGCGACACTAATGTCGAATCCAACCAAAAGAATGTTTATTTGAGAAATTTTCGGGTTAATGCGCGGTTGGTGGGGTATGATGAACTGAGGGGGACGGGGATTAGGGTGCCTAGTGATGGGTTGGCGATTGCGGGGCCTACTTTGGATGTTGGGGTGCGGAATCGGGAGGAACCAGAATCACAGCTGGGACTAGGTCAGACACAACTCGGACCACAGTCGGAGACGTCGACAGCACTAGGACTGGGAATCGAAACTGTCATCTGCATGTGCAGCTCGCGCGAAAACGGGTTTCATTTCCAACCTGAGGGACTGTGCAAGCTTGGGTTGTGTCTCCAAGAAGAGGTGGCGCTGCCTGCTGCTAATAACCCTCGAGCTGTTTATCTGGAGATTCCGACGTCGGAGATGAGGCATTTGTTGACGCCGGTTGGGAGGGCTGCTGTTGAGATGGTTTGGTTGGGGTGTTTGGCTATCACCAGTTTTGGGCCGTATTGAGGTGGGAGTGTATTTTTTTTCCTTGTATCTTTCTGTATCCGCGTGTCCTAGGGGCTGGATTTATTTATATTCCCCTTCATCTGCATCTTCCTTTCCCTCTTCCATCCCATCCGAATCCTTATATCCTTGTCTCAAGTATCGTTCTGATTTCTTTATCCTTGATCATCCCCCCAACTGTCTCCATATACAATCTCACCGCATCATCATACCATGATTTCCCTAGATTTTTTAGTTGTATACTATCATACAGATACTATGGCTATGGCTAAGCATTCATTCATCCAGTTTTGCTTCTTGCTTCTGAGCTAGTGCATACTTATATTGCTATTTTTCGTGTTCGCCTACTTACATAGAGCGGCTCTACGACGGTACTGGAGGTTGTCTACGGGGCTGTTATGGTGCTGGAGATCGTCTGCAATACCGCCTTTTTGAAGATCATAGATGATACTTTTGATGATATATTTAATCACTTTGTATACCTACTTACTTGGTTGTTTTTTTGCAATTGTATGCATGGAATGGATATCGATTGAGGTTGATTGTATGTGATGTCGACTTAGTCAATCGTGGGAGATTTGTGCTCCGAGTCCTTTCTTTTGACTTATACTTTAGATTTAATTCCTGAACTACTGAGGCTACTGGTCGCGCTCAACTCCAGTACACTATCGCCTTTTTCATCCCATGCGGTATGCTAAATGCCTAGCGTCTCCCAATTGTGCTGTCTGTCAGAGCGACAAAACTTGATCGGTGAGGAAACCTTTTAATTTAAGCAAGACAACGAAGGTCACTCGCAATCGCCAAAGTCGTCTATAATGTCAATAATGATACAAATGCAGAATGCAAACAAGCGTCTAAACTCTATGGTGAGTGCTCCTATTAAATGACTCCGAATAAGAATATATTGATGAACCACTCGGGTACGCCAGATCTTCGACCTCTAAATTCGACCGAATTCCCATTCCTCCAGCAGGCAGCACATCTTCGTTTGAAGGTCGCATTGTCTAAACTGCCAGCTGATCTCAAAACGTTGGTGGCGGAGGTGGCGAATGCAGTCCCACACCCAGTTCTGGGAGTTCCAGCGGGGATCGTGACGCGTGATCGGCACGCTTGCGAGATGACTCTCGAACAAAGCCAGCTTATGGGCTGCCACTCTTCCAATAGTAAAGCTTCCGCGCCAGTCATTGGGGTTTACGTGTGGCTGGTTGCGTCTGAACTCCATGGTGTAGGTATCTGTGTTTCCTATGATGTGGTACGTGTTCCCGATACCAGGACCCGTCGGGATATAGATAACCCAGTGAAGGGGATAAGGCCGAAGGTACTCTTTCTGGCCTTGCCAAAACTGGACGACTTCGACGTTGTAATACGTAACTGGGGCAGACATATTTGGAGATGACTATGGGACTTGGTCAGTTCTGTTCGCCGAGTTTCGTATTCTGTGTACTCGCCGAAAGGACAGACGAAGAAGAGGTGAGGGATGGGTGAGTTTGAGTTTCGGGCTCATGGATGCCCTGGATTTATATCCAAACATTTGTGGAGTTTGGTTTCGGGGACAACGAAGTGTGGACATGACATTGAATACGACATGTCCACCATCTCCCGAAGAGAGTATGTTGTGCTTTGGTGAACCACAGATTGTCCTTCCAGATCGAGTGGTTCACAATGACTCCGCCGCATTCAAAACTGCAGGTGGATGCTTACTACGCTAGGTCATTGTTACCAATCATCCTGTGGTGGAAGACATCAAAGGTTAACGTGATTTATTGTACCACACGCAATTGTTCTAGGCTTCTAGAAATAGACTTCGTGCGGTGGCTCGTTGGAGCCCTTTGTAATGGCATTCTTATGTTTTGTCAATCAATCACTCGAATTAAGGGATCGAACCACCCAGACTTTCATCTGAACAGTCAAGGTGCAGGAGGAGCTTACACGTGTTTATTAGACATCAGCTGTGGGTACGAGAATCACTGGAACTTGTTTCAAGAAAACTATATGATAATTTATGCCGACACGACAGAGTATAAGTTCGGCACTGCAAATGTTTAAAAGATCGGGGAATGAGTACTGAGTCTCAAACTAAGCCCATATGTGAACGAATACGGTAAGCAAGGCAAAGTGGTGTTTTATCTGTTCATCGGGCGTACCCCATTGGCGAGAGACTGAATGCAATTTTTGAGAGCTGCGTATACAGCCTATAGGCCTCATCCAAGTACCCTGCTGCTCGAACATGGTTTCAGGGTTAATGTCAAGGTGGTAGAGAAATACGAATCGCCTAAGATTGTCAGGGGGACGGAGCGCGACTGCAGCTAGATGGAGCTTAATGGCCTCCCTCGTCCAGGTCAGATGGGGCGGCACATTCCGCGAATCCGGTTGGAAGGCTGGTGGCAAAGTCGTTGAGACATGAATCAGAGAATGGCCAGGGGGACGCAGTGCGAGTGCTGCCCAGTAGAACTCGGTGGCCTCGTCCAAGTCAGACAGAACGCCCTGCTGCCTAAATCTGTCACAAAGGCTGACGTCAAGGTTGTTCATATAATTGGATCGAAGAGCATGGTGAGGTGGACAGAATATGAGTGTAGCTCTGTGGAGCTCGATGACATCTTCCAGTTCAGACAGGGTTCCGTGCTGCTGAAATCGGTCACGAAGGCTGGTGGCAAGGTTGTTGTTACACTCCAATTGAGGAATATGGCCAGGGGGACACAGTGCTAGTGTGGCAGCGTGGAGTTTGATGGTCTCATTCAGGTCAGATGGGGAGCCCCGCTGCCTCCATCTGTCATGAAGGCTGATGACAAGTTTGTTGAGAGTCGTGGATCGACCAGGGTGACCAGGGGAACGGAATGGAAGTACAACTCTGTAAAGCTTGATAGCCTCATCCAGGTCAGACAGGGCACCCTGTTGCATGAGTCTGGCTTGGAGACTGATGGCCAGATTATTCAGATACATTGACTGATCAGAAGAGCCAGAAAGACCCTCCTGCAAGATCGCTGAGTCGTCATCGCTTGACATCATCTGCCATGCTTTGTACTGAAAATCATAAAGTTCAATAGATATGGCAAAGAATATCGAAGTAGGATTGAGCAGCGCGAAGTTATCTAGATGAGATTGCAAGAACACAAGCTCAATGTCGAGCGTCTGGCTAATGAGTACAAAACTGAGGATGATCGGAGCGCTACGCACAGAATAGCGATACAGCAGCTGTCGTGTCTGGATACGGTTATGCTCTGTAGAGTACGCTGGCATCAGGAATATCAAAGAGGAACGGAGGAACAATGGTGACAATATTATCTGCACCAAGGAGACGCAGGCCGACAATCAGCTCGATATTGCGGGTCTTCACCCTCACCAACTCGTCGGTATCGGAAGTTCATTCAGCCTTGAAGAATCTGCACTTTCCATCGATTGATGGGAAGACAAATGACGTAACGCGCTTGTCTGGGAGTTGGCGCTATGGCACTCAGCGGGTCTGTTCGCTGACAAAGTTTTTGTGTGGATGTCCAATGAAATGGAGTGAAAAGGGCCTTGCGAGGTTGGTTGTATATAGTCCTTGGCATGAGGGTTCTGCTTGCATGAAAGTCCGTGCGCAAGTACTCCGCCTTAGTCAGCTGCACGACTCGAGTTGTCCACACACCGGCGGTTTTGGAGTTTCGCACTATGCAAGATTTGTTTTGAAATGTTAATGATAAAGTTGGCATTTTTACTATACATTTTGACACAGTAAAAATGGAAAAATTGGATGAGTGGGGGCGAAATTCTACATTTTATGAATCATTTTGACATTGTAAAAGAAAGACATTTAACCGACAGCAAGATCTGAAGAAAAATGATACCGAACATTTTGATTCAAATTTTACATGGGGTGAGATTTGAGGAAAATTTGAATAAAACGCATTTTACCTGTTGGAAAGGAATTTTACCCCGATATAAGATTTGAATCAAAATGTTCGATCATTTTTCTTCAGATCTTGCTGTCGGTTAAATGTCTTTCTTTTACAATGTCAAAATGACTCATAAAATGTAGAATTTCGCCCAAGATTTATCCACTCATCCAATTTTTTCATTTTTACTGTGTCAAAATGTATAGTAAGAATGCTAACTTTATCATTAACATTTCAAAACAAATCTTGCATAGTGCAAAACTCCAAAACCGCCGGTGTGCCAGTATGCCTCAGCCTGGCAGGTCAGACTGCCGCCGCACGCGCATAACTGTCACGCTGAAATCTGCAAAACTTACCTTTCATGTACGTACAGTACTGAGTATAAGAACTCAGGTAAACCAGCGTCCTCACAGCAGGCTGTTTAAATTTGTCTCCTTGGAAGGCAAAGTACTGACAAATGTTTTTAGCTTGTTCACTGTGCATCTGACTTCAACTTGAAGTGGCATAGCGTCACTGCAGCCCAAGCCTGAGAGCTTGAAGCTTGAATTTCCAGATCCATTGCTGTCGACTCGGATTGCTGCAGGTCAAATTGAGATAATGCGGCCATTAATCCTGGTCTACCGTCGCGTCTTGCTAGCAGCGTTTCGCTCATGTTGAAGGAATGCAAATTACTAATTACTTCATCGTCGCCTCCTTCGCCCGATTCACACGCGGACGACACCCAAGTGCCCATCTCCAACTGACAATGCGAAGGGATGGGACGTCATCACTTTCACGCCTCATTCCTGTCTGTCAGACTCGGAGCGACAGAAATTGAATGGCTCTTGAGTCTTTATTCAGTCAGGACAATGAAGGGCACTCACGATCACCCAAGATGTCTATGATGTTAATGATGATTCACATGACGATTGCAAATGTCTTGAATTTATGGCGAGTGCTCCCAATGACTCTAAATAAGAACACTAAATACTTGATCAACCACTCGGGCACACCAGATCTCCACCTCTAAATTCGACCGAAATCCCAGTCCTCCAACAGGCAGCACATCTTTGTTTGAAGGTCGCATTGTCTAAGCTCCCAGCTGATCTCAAAACGTTGATGGCGGAGGCGGCGAAGACAGTCCCACACCCAGTTCTGGCTGTTCCATCGGGGGTCGTTATGCATGATCGGAACGCTCGCGAGGTTCCATTCGAAAAGGGCCAGCTTACTTGCAGCCACTCTTCCCATGGTGTGGCTTCCGCGCCAGTCATCAGGGTTGACATGTGGCTGGTTACGCCTGAACTCCACGGTGTAGGTCTCTGTGTCTCCCAGGAGGTGGTACGTGTTTCCGACACCAGGATCGGTTGGGACGTAGATGACCCAGTGAAGGGGATGCGGCCGAAGGTACTCTACCTCGCCTCGCCAAAACTGGATAACTTCGACGTTATAGTATGTTTCTTCGGCAGACATATTAAGATATGGCTCTGGGACTGGGTCAGTTGCAGTCGCCTGAGTTTCTTATTCCGTGTTCTTACCAAGAGAGCAGACGACGGAAATCACAAGCGGGTAGGTTTGAGGTTTAAGCCCATCGAATACCTGGATTTATATTCGAGCTGTTGTGGATTTTTTGTCTCGGGAACATCCTCGAATTGTGGAATACAACATCGAACGCGACATGACCATTGTTATTCCAACAGAGTATGGTGTGCGGTGCGAGTGGATCACTGATTTCCTTCCCCGATGAGCCACATCTAGTAACCCACAATAGCCGACTCAGTTCGAAAGCAGAGGCTACGCCGCAAGTTCACGCCCTCCTTTAACTCATCGCATGATGGACTAGATCAAAAATTAATATGATGCATCTACGATTCATAATATTGTACGCAAGTGTTCTAGGCTTCTAGGCTTTTGAGATTATGGCCGTGGACCTCGAAGGGTATTTCTGGCTCGTTGGAACTCGTGACATTTTTTGTCTCGCGAATGTGGAGATCGGTTAAACCACCCGAACCGTATTAGTCCAGTGGAGAGTTACGATGCAGAAGAGTCCGTTGTCCTAGCGTTGTCTTTGACTTGCAAGAAAACTACTTGGTATTCACAACATGCAAGCGCTCCAGTCCGTTGCACATTGATTCATAGTAATAGACGTCTGTATAGAATGTTAGCCATGGTCTCTTCCTCTCCTAGGCCCTTCCGGCCGTCAGTATGTTTCATCATTGTCCGTGTGATTCCATGCTCACCATAATCTCCTGGCGATGCATCGTCTAAAAGGTGTAGCATTTTGAATGCCAACGAAATTTAGAGTGCGAATTTCAGGAGCATCCGGAGACCGAAATGAAAAGGAGCCCCAAGATGCAAGTTGGAGCGCCAGTGGAGCTCAAGTGGAGCGCGCACATGGGAGTCACGATATTGGAAATCGCTCCGTCCTTACAATATGTAGAACACAGGGACTTGATATACAAATGCGTGCAAACGCGAACACAGACGAGGTTTATTAACCAGTCTTTTGATGCAATCATGGAATATGCAGCCTTACAAGGGTTCTACACGCATTAATACTATATGGTCCGAAAGCAAAATCCACCTGAACAGTCGGTAATGTACATGGTATACATGAGGTGATGTGAAGGGATCAGTTCGCCCCGCAGATAGATAGTTCCCTCATTTCCTGTAAGACCGCCTCGACCTGACCATCACCAATGAGCAAAGGGCGTACACGTAACAGCTGATCATACCTGCGCATCCAGCTGACCTGCAGCATAATCATCTCGTACATTGTCAGGAAAATACCTGCTCATAGCATAAGCCAGATCCCTATCCATCATTTCCCGAACCCCAAAACTCACCTCTGTACAGCGCTCATCTTCTCATATCCTTCCTCGGCAAACTTACATTGCATGCGAATCATAGCCTCAAAACTGGGATCGAAATATGGTATGCGCAGATCCAAGAGCTGCGGGAGCTCTGAGATGAGCTGATCGTTCATAAGCTCGAAAACCTCTTTCGCATCGTCGTGTTCTTGTTGTGCTTTTGGAAGCTTTGTAGGGTCTTCACTTGGTTTCTCGATTACCTTTCGTAGTTTGCTACGTGCCGCGTCGAAGTCCAGGAGCTGAAGACTGTTCAGTCGAATCACTCAGGGCCCCCGATCAATAGCAGGAAGCATCACCTTTTTGTTACGCTTGGTGATATGCTCGTTCACGACGGGGAAGTAAGCGTTCATCTTCCCGAGGGGTTCCATGATGGTCGTACGATAGGGACCTTCCTGTAGAAGATATCATATAAATGGAATCAACAGAAGCAAGTATCACTTACAAGTTCCCTCTGAATGCCCCCATCAAGCTCCTCAACCGCGCTCTTGAAAGCGTGACTTGCCATAGCACCATCTGACGAGCGATCTGCAGCGCCGTAGAAGGTCTCGATGGTCTCAGCCAACCGCGCCTGTGTGGTTGTCATCGCTGTGGCACTATTTCAGCATATTACATGACACAGCGAGGCCAGATGACTTACAGCGCATGGCATCCTGATATTGTTTAGCGTCCTTCTGCAATGCTTGACACTCCTTCTCGAAGCTGGTGCAAGTCAAATGACAAGGAGGAGACGGACTGTTGATGCACGTACGCTCTGTACTTGGATTCTTCATCTGCAAATTCACGGTCTATTGTACGTTCGATCTGTCCGGTCTTTTGTAAGACCTAAGCGGTTTCGACGAGTCATGAGTAACTCCGCATAGGATGGAAGATATGTTCCTACCGTGGTACCCGCCCTATTCAGCGACTTCTTGAACCTAGTGGATATCAGATCTCAATAAGCTACATCAAAGTAGGAAACAGACCCTGTCCAGCTCATGGTACTTAGTGATATCACCCAAAAGAAGTTGTCGTTGGAATGACAAGTGTTGATCAAGGACACTCACTGCGCCCGGCTACTAGGCCCACTTCATAATGGCTTACGTAAATCACACATTTGACACTTTGCAAAGTAAAGAAATGACATATAGCATAGAGAACATGAGATCGCTGCAGGACATGAAGAGATAGACTCGAGAAAAACATCAAACCTTACAACTATCAAACTTTCACCTTATTTCGCGATGCGTTCCTCCAAGGGCCTCGATGACAATGGCTGGTGTGGTCGACCTCGGCCACCGGCACCACCCCTTCCTCTCCCAACGTCACCTTTACCGCGCCCCCTGCCGCGGTTGATGTTTCCACGTCCTCCCGAAACCTAGAAAGTTGTTAGCTCCTGACTTCAGGCCCTACTCAGAAAACCTACTGAAATCCGCCCTAGAAGATCACGCTCACGCTCTTCACGGCGAGCGGGACGCTCCTCCATGCTGTATCCCGAATCTGAGAGACGCCGGACATCCACGGTGTTGGTGTAGTCCGGTCTGTGACTGCCCTCATTCCGTCCACGCCTATCTCTCTCAATGTGCGGCCTGATTTGATGGGAGGGCGAGGGTGACCGTAGTCGATCGTGAATTGAGCTGCGCAGCTCTGGTGAGGTAGAACGACCCCTTCGCCACTCCGTTTCTGTAGCAGGGGAGTGACGGGCGAGCCCACGAGAATTCCGATAGTCTCGTTCTGGTACATAATGATCACCTCGTGGTCGACGGCGATCACGATTGTCATATTCATTATCGTGCTCCGCTGGCCTCTTTCTGCCATTGTTCATCGGCGACATTGGACGGGAAGGAATGGGAAGCCCGTGAGCTGTGGCTTCATTCTGTTCGAGGTGCCGATGATGAGATGACGTTGCAGATGTGGGAGGGGGAGAATAATGGTCTGGATAACGAGGAGCCCATCGCTGGCGCTGGCTACGAGACTCGCCACTGGTACCATTACTGCAGGTGAAACCAGAAGGTTCTGGGGATCTAGTTCGTCTACTAATCTGAGAATTCTGTCTAGAGCGTTGGTTGGGATTGTGACGAGAGGCAGATTCCGATGGCTCAGAATGAGGGGATATGGCATCTGGAGTCCATTCCTGACGGACTACAGAGGCATCCATGACCCAGGGACCTGGGCTGTTTCGGATTGGTACGAGCCCTGTCACAGACCCTGATGTACCCGCTGAACCATCTCGAGCATCGGAGCGCAAATATGCACTTGGCGCTTGACTGACAACAAGTTCGACGGAAGTTTGAGGGACACTGTTCGTTTGAGAAGCATTAATGTTCAAAATTTTGGCTCGACCAGACGGTGGATTGTCGTTTGAAACGTGAACCATGGCATTCGTAGTAGATCGCGCAGATTTTCCTTCCTCAAGGAGACTGCTAGTCCGTTTTTGATTATGCGACTCCTCAACCACTTCTTCTGTTTTTATCGTCTTGATAGGAAGCGAGTCGTCAGGTCGCTTCACGCTCCGATCTCCAGTAGCACTCTCCTCGACGCGGTGCCTGTTCTTCTTGATGTGTCGCAAATTTGCCTCTCTTTGAGCTGGTGAGAGATTCGCCTGTTGACTGACAGTCCATTCAGTCCATTCATTGCCATCGCTAGCGAGGATGGTACGTGACTTGGGAGTGTTGGGCAATGCGACCTTTTTAGAAGTCGGAGGTGGCCCATTCGGTAGGGGAGAAATGGACAAATCCAGAGGGAACTCAGAAGCCAGTTGAGTCGAATACAAAGGCGCATCTGTGATCACCTGTCTCCCAATGTCAGTGGAAGCCGATACAAACGAGGGTGTCTTATAGGAGGCTGAGACAGTTGATGATGATGATGCGGGGGTCGACATTGACGATGAAGGAGGACCGTCCGAAGTTGGTAGTGCACCAAGCATAACATTGCCCGAAGTTCCCTGAGAACAAGATGTCTGATTTGTTCGCGAGGCAGGCTTTTTTGGCGTAATATCTTGTTGACCCGGTAATGGCACAGTATGGTCGAGCGGCGATGCTAATTCGTCGACTTCCACCTCCACATTCATATCTTTCAGGCCATCACCATCAGTCGTAGAGACCGCCAGGTGTCCGGCACGCTCAGCGCGGATGCGAGCAGCATTTTCTGAAGTGGCCTGCTGTTTGTTCGCAAGCACTTGAGCGCGAAGCCTATTAAATTCAGCCTGCACATCAGGCTGGGTGTTCTGCGACTGTGCCTCTGGGTGTGCTGACTGCTGAGCGAGGAGCTCTCTGCGCCACAGTTTTTGTTCTTCATCAGCCCATTTCGCAGTCTTTTCGGCCTGGATTCTTCGCCTCTGCGCTTCCTCTTCGACTTGCTGACGTTCTGCTTCGGCAGCCTGCAAACGCTTCTGCTTCATATCCTGGAGCTCATCGAAAGATTGACGAGTCTGAGTGATTTGTTTCTTCAGATTCTCGGTCAACTCGAGTCGGCAGGACAAAGCCTTTTTATAGCTATCGACCGCCTTAATCTCTTCTTCAGTCATACCATCCTCCTTCTCGACAGGAGGCGCAATATCAGCAGAAAGCTGAAGTAGTGCTGCGCTGTTTTGAGCCAGAGTCCTTTCTCTCTCTGCACGCTCTTTCTCTGCCTCCCACCGTGTCTTCTCAGACATAACTTCTTGGAGAAGCTTCATCGCTTCATCGATCTCTTCCTGGATGGCCGTCCGTCTTAACTCGTCCTCGAACCTTCGCTGATCGTCTCGCGCACGGCGTTGAGCATCTCGAGCGCATCTCGTCTCCTCTCGGAGTCGCGATTCCTCCTCCAGCGCCACGAGTCTCTCCTCTCTGGTGCCTAACTCCTCCAGCTTCTTCTGCAACGTTTTCATCTGAGCTTCGTATTCTGTCTCCCTCGTCAACATGTGTTCCTCGAACGCCCTTCGGCGTTCATCGAAGTCTATGCGCTCTGCCTCAAATACTTGGTTCGCATCAAGGTGCAGTTTGGCAGCGTCCTCGGCGACGGATTTAAGATTCTTGATGACTTCAACCAATGACTCATTAATGCGGGCGCTACGCAAGGCTGGCATATCTGAAGATCGTGAACTCGTCAAAGTCAGGGTGTTACCATCACCAGTTGGTAATATTTCTCGATCTAGTGAACCCTTGGAATTGCAAGTGCTGTGAGGATACGGGTGTCGAAGAACAATAGCGCCAAGCTCCTCCACATTCGTTTCATTGCGAGGGCCGGCAGCCAACTCGGGTACATTCGAAGGCGGTGCAAATGGGGATGGGGTCCTGATAAGCGATGTAGGAAGGGCAAGGGATAAAGTTTTGCTCTTTTCTAGAAGCCTGGCATATAAAACGTCTTGTGCAATTTGCTCTTGAGACGTTTCAGGCTGCACGACGTCTGGAACATGGTTTGAGCTGGTCCCAGTCATTTTGAAATTCGGAGAAAGAGATGCTGATAGCGTTGACGAGGGTGGACTCGGAGTTGCGTGAGGAAAGAATCCTACGGAAGAATGCGATTTAGGCGACCCAGACGGAATGGACGACGACAAAATGTCATGATTGGGTTGTTCAGTGGTCGGAGTTACAAGAGATGAGCCTGGGTAGACGAGCTCAGGTGTTAATGCTTCTCTGGCTTTGTTGGCGGCAGCATTGGGAGGGGCTTGCATTTGCGACATGTTTGACTCGGACGTAGTCGGGAGAACCTCAATCGGAGGAATTAAATGAGGCTTTGCAGGAACGTAACGGTTGCGATTTATCCGTGGTGGAGGGGGCGGTTCACGTGTTGGATGAAGATTTTGGGATTTTGCTGACGAGTTAAGTTGTGAAGGACCCATTTGAATCCGCTCAGCCAGGTTTCGCGAATTTGGAAATGAGGCATGGGTGGGCACTGGGGGTGGAAGATGCAACGTTGCTGGTGAGGGAGAACGAAAGGGCATTGAACCCGGATCAGGCGCAGAAATGCGACTGAGTAAATTGGGCGGTTTTCCGATGGTACCGAATTGGACATCTGTGAAACTAGGTGGTGGTTGGTGAACAGGGGCCGGCATACAGGCCCCATTGCCAGCCTGCACTGACTCAGATGCAAAGTCGGCATTTAAGAGGTGAGAAGGAGAGCCGAACATCGACTCGGACATGATGTTGTTGTGGAATTGATAATGATCAGTTGATACGATTATATATGCCTGTGCGGAGTACAAATATAACAATGGTAAGAACGCGAGCCTCGAGGAGATGAACTGGGTGTACTGATATGGAAAGAATTGCAATCGTATCGTTGAGCCGTTAACAGGTTGAACGTTGCATGAAAGGTGTTGAAACAATTCAAGCTGGTCAAAGAAAAGTATTCAGTCTAGATGGTTATGAGACAAAGAGCGCGTGCCTTCGGCAAAACCCGAAATGCCATTCGACTACCGTACTTGGCTTGGGAGGTGCTAAGGCTCTATCTTGCTACCCATGACTCGATTCCTGCAGATACACCCGAGTCCGGGCTGCTTCAAGTTCGCCGTGCAGATTATGATAAAGCTTGAAGTTTGTCATTAAAGTGGACATGGCCCAATTTCGACGATGTTAAATCCCGAAGCATCCGAGTCTTTACCCTAGATCTTCTATCTCATACCCATCAAGTAGCCGCGATGGGTACTCCACTAGTTCAATGCCGTATAGAGCTAATAATCTGGTCGGGCCGTACAGATTATGTGTCTCCGAGCATAGCATTGAATGTGAAACACAGGCCGGGCACCTTTGAGAACCACTTCCGATTCGATGAACTTTATCCTAATCATCAGATATTGTTTCCTGCAAGAACGTTTCGGCGACTCAAGCTCAAAGCGCGTCACTATATGTATCCACACACTAGCTATAGAGATGCTGCATCTCTATTCTTCCGCAGCTGTGGTAGACGCGACCTCGACCTTTCCGTGAACTCCAACAGACCCCTCACATTCCCAACCAATCACCACTTTTTTCAAAGTCAGTCATAGCGATCGGACTGTTCCCTATAACCTTGCGTAACTTAGCATGGGGGCAACGAATAGCTTAGAAAGCTCGGGGGGGAAATTCGATCCAAGGCTGGTCATTGGTCCGACTCAAGTCTGTGGGCTCTTGAGTGCCGTACTGTTCGGTTGCCTGGCTTTCCAGTCCTACGTGTATTTCACAAGATTCAAAAGTGATCACTTCGTCCTCAAAGTAACTGTGAGTCAGTCAACTGTATAATTCATTGCGGATTTTGATGATCGTTTCATTTGCTTAGGTATCTGCTGTTACGTGCGCTTCATGTTTGATTTGGTTCCTTCATTGTTTAAATATTGATGTGTTTTATAGCTTGCTTCAGCTGGGTCACTTCGTCTGCATAGTATCAACATTATGGACAATGACTGTCAACAGTTATTGTGACCCCTCTCAACTCATGGCGCTTCACGTAGCAGTAGACCTGGCTATTTCATTCAGCGGATTCACGGCATTCATTGTGCAGGCAAGTGATTTCTGGCTTGGTATTTTCATTATTTGTGTTTACGGGTAATATCAGTCGTTTTACGTATTTCGACTTTGGAAGTTCACGAGAAATGTTCTAATACCCACTTTTTGCGGGGTACTCGCTGTGGGTGCACAGATTTTGACACTTATCCTCGCAGTAACGGCGACCTCAACGACGGACCTCGTGACTTTTGGAGACCTTCAATTTTTACTGATTGCGATTCTTTTCATCGTACGTGCAACCTGCGATATGGTCACCACCGCTGTCACCGCCTTCAGTTTGAGAAAAGAACGATGTCATGGTATCAAGGAGTATGACTGTTCAACACTCATTCCCGCGTCAGCTTACATTTGTCATGCTTCATAGCACGGCGACGATGATTGACCGGTTGATTCGTTGGACAATTGGTAAGATAGGCAGCGTCTTTATCAGATAGATGTGCTTTTTAACGTCGCCTCTACACAGAAACCGGACTGATCACCAGGTATTTGATTCTTGTATGGCTTACAAAGTGTTTGCGTTAATGATTCATCAGTTTAATGGCCATTGCATTGGCAACGTGGGTAAGAGCCTCACTATCTATATCATCTGGAGCGTTTTTTAACTAGCTTCAAGTTTCTGGTCGTGCCGCAGAGCTGTGAGCATGTTGGTACTCTGCATCCTACTGCAGCTGAAATGACGTAGATGTGTGGTTTGGAGTGTGGTTGATCTGGCCTAACGGTAATGACATGAAATACCTCAAAATTCATTATATTGACTCACGTATTGTGCAGTTGTGGGGAACTCCTTGTTAGCCTCGTCAGTCGCACGGACTCAACACATAATAAAAATGATGAACTTACTGATGTGACATTCAGGTTAAATCGGCGGTTACTCCTTCGCGAGAGTTGGGGGGCTCCAAGAGGTAGTGCCCGGAGGAGTGGTGGTATAGTGAGTGCCTTCTGAATTCCTGTACGGTGATTCTAATTCTGTTTCAGAACACGATTGTCTTCAAAGCCGGAGCTATGCAATTACAAGTAGACCCACTGGAGAACTCCAGGAACCTCGACGTTGAAATGTTCCAAGCAGCAGGCCCAACCGACGAGGAATACGGGCAGGTTTAAAAGCCTGCGGTGGTCATACGCAGACGACAAGACTCCTTGCTGACTGTTGGACGGTGTAATTTCACATTAGGCATGTCCATAACGATGGATCCACGAGATATGCTGAGTCTGCGGGTAATGCACACTTGAAGGATATTTACAGTACACTAATATTGATGAATGAATGTTAGATGTGGATATGGTTGCTGAGGAGTGTCAGGTCACTTTGGAATTTTGGGTAAGTTATTATATAGCTACGATTGAGCCTACGAAGTTACGAACCGAACGTCCCGTTTTAGCACTGCTATCACACGGCAACGACCGTAGTCTCGAACCAGACTCAACTGACATCCCAAATTGGGAACCCTGTCAGTAGAGTCTGGGATCCAACCGGAGGCAATAAGGGGGTTTGGTAGTTAGTAGTCAAATGTGTCACGTCACGCTCTTAACGCACGTCCAACGTCTGCCTCGTTGGCGTCGAGCAACCCGTTAGACACGTATTTCTCTTATTTATTCTGCTCAAACCTATTTTTTCTTCATAACCAACCACTATCCTTCATTTTAGGTCAATCATATACACATAATGGACGAAAATTTGACATCCTGCTGGCCTCCTGTTCGTAAACGCGCGCGCAGCCCTTCGTCAAGCGCTCGCACCAGTGACGAGGCCAATCCAACCACACCCATCCGTTCTGTCAATACACATGTCCGCACCCTCAATTCACGTTCTCCACTCATCGATGCTATCAACCTTACCCCACGCTTCCGCAATGGATACGAGGTCAAGCCGCAAACACCCTCCTACAAGCCATATGCCCTGTCCTCTCGTGGGCAAAAACGGCAGCGTGCTTTCGACTTTTCGGTTGAAGTCTCGATAAACCCCCATTCTCCGCTCACTCCTGATGAGTGGAGTGCTCTCGCTACTGGTGCTGCCATCATTCCAGCAGACTGCTGCCCACGCGACTTCCAGATTCAATGCAGCAACATCGTAATCGGACGCTCGAAGGATGTCTGTGTCATTGCACCGACTGGCCAGGGCAAGTCTTTGCTCTGGGTTCTCCCGCTGCTTGTTCAGAAATTGGGTGTTTCTCTTGTCATCACGCCTTATACGAGCTTAGGTTCGGAGGGCCGAGATAGGTGAGTTTCCGCTTTTTTTTTCAATTGACATGAGCTTTATGGTGATTTACAGGCACTGTGCTCTCGGAATCCGCTCAGTCTTCATCAACGCGAACCAGAAGGATGCTACCACACTGGCTGATGCTGCACGTGGACTTTATAGAGTTGTGTTCGCATGTGTGGAGATGATGCCACCACCAGCTAGAAATATGTTCGCGTGATGTTTAATTGTGCTGTCTTCGGAGGAAAACAATGTTTCCAATAGAGTGCGGAGTGAAAATCGGGAGAGTTGACGAGTCATGAATGCAAGCACCTCGAGGCATTTTTGGTCTGCATTGAGTCGTTGAGGTCTATCATGACCATCAGTTGGTATATATGAAAAGTCGTCGTCATCGGACTGTGAAAGCTCGAGATCCAGAAACGGCACTTGTGGGAGGTCATGAAAGTCGACACGAGGTGTTATAGGGGAGGACTCGGACCCAACAGAACTGATTGCTTCAATGTCGTCGAGAGAATCCAGGCGTGAACGAAGTGGGTACATATTGCAGCAGCCTATTTGTATTGCTTTGAGACAAAATGAAGAGAGAAAACGGGTTGCTCGACGCCAACGAGGCAGACGTTGGACGTGCGTTAAGAGCGTGACGTGACACATTTGACTACTAACTACCAAACCCCCTTATTGCCTCCGGTTGGATCCCAGACTCTACTGACAGGGTTCCCAATTTGGGATGTCAGTTGAGTCTGGTTCGAGACTACAACGACCGTTTGAATTTGAACACAACCCACATGGGCTCACTGGCTCACTGTCGAGGATGATATAATAGCCAACTCGGATACTCGATCAGCACAGAACTCATCCTGCTTACCGTGACACACTTGACAGAGCCCACACTATCTTTTGATACCGGGACTCGGACTGCAAGTGTGGTTCAATCATTATCATCACCATCATCAGACGAAATTCAAGTCACCGAATGTCCTGGGGAGTGACCCCAGCGGCCCAGAATGGGGGTTCGACTACAGTATAGGCACTCTGAAACCTGGCCCACTTACTACGAATCATATTTCGATAATTTTATGGCCCGAAGCGTCTTTACCCTATTGGCACGTTGTCAAGGACGCATGTTTCATGAAACTTATCAAAAATATTGCGAAGCTACGTACTGCACAAGTTCAACACTGGCTAGCTAATAATATCCATCAATATGTATTCACCGTCATCAGATAAGCCATGCTGCTATAGTTAATCTGTACAGTCGGCTTCTGATCGATCTGATATGTAACACACCCGCGACGTATACCGAATTTGATCAAGGTCATACCAATGTTACACGACTTAAACGTCTCCGGGCATATTGCAAAGGGAAATCATGGCCGGGAATTTGTGAAAAAAACCATAAGAAAGTAAGTGCAAGTGGTGTACACACTTGCTACTCCCATCGCCAGACGTACTAACTTGTATATGATTCTAGATTCGTCTTACAAAGATCTTTTTTCACTAAAGTGAGAAGAAAGATTCATCTTCTTGATGCATGAGTCCTGTCCAATTGTGCTTGTGGCGATTACGCTGCAGAAACCATGTGTCATGGGATATTATTGTCCTCCGAACCTGCTTCGGTGATTCAAATTCAACTTTGTCTATATCTTCATTCAGATCCTCCATGCCATTTCGTCTGGCCCCTTGCATCTACATCATTTTTGTAAGTTATATATGCAATGATCAGACTGTCTCCTATAATTTTTCTAGACTCAGTGTGAGCACGATGAATAGCTAGGACGCTCAACTAGTGATTTCGATGTAAGGCTAGTCATCGAGCCGATCCAAATCAGTGGACCGTTGAGCGCTGCATTATTCGGTTGTCTTTCCTGTCAGTCCTACGTGTATTTTACAGGATTCACGAACGACCACCTCATCCTGAAAGCAGCTGTGAGTCCTTAAAACACCTTGATCATTTCATACGGCCAGGTCTCTGCAGTCGTGTCACTCATGTGTAGTTCCTCAAGTTTCAACTAGGTTGTTTCAAATACTGACACACTCAACAGCTTGATTTACGACCTAGCAATTCATGAAAGAGCATGCGTATGTCTCGGGCAATCATCACTACGGTTAAACGGTCTCACTAAAGGCCTGGATTATCAAGTAAATGGCTGTTTCTGACGGAGGCAGACATGCACATAGCCCACAGGAACCCGACTCGAGTACCAGACTCAATTTGGCACACAACAACTGAACCGCATTCTCGTCCAGAAACTCCATCGGGACCTCCATGTATGCTTATTAATTTTGTAATCAGGCAAATGAGTATATAAAGCTGGTAGAATTGGAGATCCACGAAACTATAGGCCGTTGGTGAATAAGAGTCGGCCTATGGGCCCATTAATATTTTATTGCACCGACTGCGCTAGGGAATTAATGACCGGTCTATCTACGCACAGGCATTCTCGCGGAGTTTGAAAGACGCGTCACATCATCTCAGGCCCGCTCCTACCGCCGCCAGGCTGCATACCACACACGGGCCATGTGCATGAACATCAGAGAGTTCTTCACGACCTCGGTGGCTAAACGTCGCAACCCAAACCCCGATCCTTTTTATTTTCGATACCCTTATCCACTTCAAGTTGTCCACCTTTCTGGCGCAGCGTACTGTGTAAGTTAGTATGTCATCTAAGATCTTCAAGGCCGAGCATATCGCAACTTTTTATTCGTGAGCTTGAGTCAGAACTTCGTATAGAGCTACGAACAGTGTAAGCTCCACTGATCCAGCTACTCAGGTTCGTCCAGCTTCAACTAATTATCTAGATTCAGAGGTCACAACTCTTTCTCGGAAAATAGTACCAAGTAGTCTCCACATCAATCTTCATTGTGTGCAAGCACAAGGATAGAACATCGGAGATCAATCCCAATTTTGATGTGGCAGCCATGTGCACGAACTGGTTTGATGTTTGTTCTGATGGCATTGAATATTGCTGTCCTGTGACCATGATTTGGTGAACACTGTGCTTCGGTGTTCTGAAAGTCAAGCGCGCTGTTCTATATATTCACACATCGACACCACCGTATCATTTTTCTTTCTACTAGTCCCTCGCATCTCGATCTACTCAACGATTTTGCAAGTCACATACAACGATCAGACCGCCTCTTATAACATTGGTGTGGACCATGCACATCATAGAGCGTTCAGCCAACGATTTCGACGCGAGGTTGATCATTGGGCCGGTCCAAGTCAGTGGGCTTTTGAGCGCTGCATTATTCGGTTGTCTTTCTTGTCAGTCCTACATATATTTCGCAAGGTGCAAGAGTGATCATCTCGCTTTGAAAGCCGTTGTGAGTCAGTCAAATGCATAATTCAGTGTTGATTTTATTGATCACTTTCGCGGTCAGGTATTTGCAATCTTGTATGCTTTATGTTTGATCGGGTTCCTTCAAATGCCAACACATGTCCTGCAGCTTCATTCAACTGGGTCACTTTGTCTGCATAATATCAACATTATGGACAATGACTGTTAGCACCTATGGTGACCCATCTTAACTCTGGGTGTTGCCTCTGGCAGCAGACTCGGCCATTCCATTGAGCGCTTGTACAGCATTCATCGTGCAGGTAAATGGTTCCGGATTTATCTTCATTCTTTGTTGCTGATGGGTAGCAATATCAGTCATTTTACGCATTTCGACTCTGGAAGTTGTCTAAAAAAGTTTACTTACCTATCCTCTGCGAAATGATCTCACTCGTTGCAGGAATTTCTACACTCATTATCTCATCGAGAGCGTTCGATATGACAGACATCACAGTTTTTGAAGACAGTCAAACTATACTGATTGCGCTCTCTCTCATGGCACGTACAGTCTGTGACGTGATCACCACCGTTGCCATCACCTGGAGTCTATACCACAAACGAGTCTCCAACTTTGAAAAGTATGACTATTCGTCGTCTTGCCTACCATTCCTTACGTTTATTATAGCACGACGACATTAATCGACCAGTTGATCTATTGGACTGTTGGTGAGATATCAGGCGCCTCCATGAGATTGATGTCCTTTTTAATTCACCTCTGCACAGAAACTGGTCTGGCCACGAGGTATTTAGCTGTTTCATAAGGTGTTTCCATCAATGATCTGTTAGTTTGACGGCCGTTATAGTGGCAGTGTTGGTAAGGACTTCACTGCCTATATCTTCCCAAAAGTGGAGCGTTGTCTAATTAGCTTTAAGTTTTTAGTGATGAAGAGTAGCTGTAAGTGTATTTGTGCCGCATTTCACCACCGCTGAAATCACGCAGTCGTGTGGTTTGGAGCATGGTTGATATTGCCAAATGGTAATGATATAGAATACTTGAAATTCAGTACACTTACTGACCCTCGTATCGTTTAGTTATAGGGAGCTCCTTGTTAACATCGTCAGTCACCAAACGAACTCGACAAATGATAAACCAAACTTACCGGTATGGCATTCAGGCTCAACTGGCGGTTATTCCTTCGGGAGACTCGGCGCACCTCAAGAGGTGACGCCCAGAGTCACAGTAATAATGCTATAGTGAGCACCATTTGCTCAACTGCGTGTGAATTCTAATTCTGTTTCAGAACACCCTTGTGTTTAGAGCTGAAACTAGGCGATCACAAGCATACATATCAGAGAACCCCAAGCACCTAAACGTTGAAGGATTCCAAGAAGCAGAACGCGGGATGAAACAGGAACACGAACGGGTTTCCAAGCCTATGGTGGTCCATATACGTGTTTAACCGATGATGAGTTGCTACTGACTATTTACGATGAGGTTATTTGCTCTTGACACTTTGTAGGTTGGTATTAGTTATGGATGTTGTGATATTGGTTTCCATATGCAAGATGTCCTGAGGCTGCGGGCTTACCTGGGCGTGATGCCACTTAAACGAAGGTTTCTGCACGACTACAGCATTCCGCGAACATTGGATGCAGATGTCTTGTGCAACGCCGTAGCGTCACTACCATGGCCTTCAAACGACCAAGCTTGGTTATGACCGGGATGATCAGCAGACGATTGTTTTTGAGTGGGTGTATTGTGCGTGCTCCACAGGAGCCCAACTCGAGCACTAGACTGATGCTACATCATACGGTTGGCTTAACCGGCAGATGGACCAGGTCATCGATCCGGCTCCATTCCTGATTCTTCGAGAACTACCCTACGTGCCCCATCCACATCTAGAATGGGTGCAATGGAACATCTTGCAACCGTAAAGAACCAGCCCCTGATTGTACCGGGTCGCAAAGCTAGCAGAACAAAGACTTTCTTAGGGTGGAGCTAGTGCAGAAATTGCAGATACCAAGCCCGGGTCCACGATGGACGATTCCCAAATGGACGACTCTGACAAGTTACCAGGTGGTTTGCCTGTCACGAGGAGGAGCCTCGCTCACGAACGTTGCAGTTGCAGGATCGCCTCGGACAGCCTTTCGACACATTTTGCTAGCATGTTGTGTAGCAGATAGCTCAGCGACGTATGAAGTCAACTTGTCATATTGGTATACCTGTAGCAGATAGCTACAGCTGGTGTTAGTTACATAGGTACTAAGTATGAATATAATACTGACCTCAGCGACGTACGAAGTCAACTGAGGTAGCTACGAGGCGCGGGAATAAACGAGAATATATAGGTACGAACGAAATGAACGGTGCCGAGTGTCCATGATGAAGGTTTGATATACGACACTCCCCCTCAAACCGAGCGTAGGCCGAGGGCGGAGGCAAAGTGTTTAGCTTTGAGACTAGGAAGGGGCTTGGTGAGTGTGTCCGCGGTCATACTATCAGTAGGACAGTAAATAAGAGAAATAGGGCCGTTTTCAACAGAAAAACGAATAAAATGGTAACGAATATCGATGTGTTTCGTGCGCGCGTGAAACGCGCCAGAATTGGCGAGGGCGATGGCCGATTGATTGTCGGAATAGAGCGTGATTGGTTGTGTGAGCGGGCGAAAGATTTCGGTAATAAAACGACGAAGCCAAATTGCTTCTTTAGCAGTGTGCGTAGCTGCGACATACTCAGCTTCCGTCGTGGACAACGTGACTAACTCTTGCTTCTTCGAGCTCCAGCTTACAGCCCCTCCATCCAGAATGAAGGCGTATCCGGACACCGCATGCCTGTGCTCTTGCGAGGCGCCGTCCGCATCTGCGAACCCTTCGAGTCCACGTTTTCCATCGCCGAAAGTGAGTGTGAACTTCTTCGTGCCCGCCAAGTACCGGTAAATCTTTTTCACAGCTTCCCAATGCGGCATTCCTGGGTTCGAGCCGTACTGCGCGACAGTTGAGACTGCAAACGCGATATCTGGACGCGTTCCGACAGCTAAATGCATCAGTGACCCGACGGCCTCACGATACGGAATGTTCTTCATGAAGCTGGTCTCCGCAGGCGTCTTTGGCGATTGTGACGTGGACAATGGTATGTTTGGGTCCATGGGGATCGAGCAAGGCTTAAAGTCCGTAAAATTGTACTTAGCAAGGATAGAGTCGATATAAGTCTCGTGGGAGAAGGAGATGGTGCACGCGACACGGTCGCGCGTTACCTTCATCCCAAGCAAGGACGCGATAGGTCCGAGGTCCGTAAGCTTGTAGCGAGCGGCTACGTTGCGCTTAAAACGTGCTACGAGATCACTGTTGCTGCCGGTGAGCGTGCAATCATCAACGTGAGATGCGAGGACAAGGATATCCGCGCCTATATGCTGGTAAAATATTCCCCAGTCTGACTCTGCCCTCTTCATACCTAGGCTAAAAAGTAGCCGGCACAGCTCCTGATACCACTTGAGAGCGCCTTGTTTGGATCCGTAGAGAGCAACGTGAAGGCGAGCGACGGGACGTTTGAACTTGCCGTCGACGTTGAGACCAGGTGGGAGTTCCATGTAGATTACCTCATCAGCGTCTAATTTCCCGTTTAGGAATGCGCTATGGAAATCAAAAACGTCTATGTCCCAATCTTGTCGTGCTGCGATGGCGAGGATCGTGCGAAGGGAAGCAAGGCGTGCCACTGGCGCATAGGTGTCGTAGTAGTCGAGGCCATAAACTTGTGAGTACCCTTTCGCTACTAAACGTGCCTTGTACTTCTCAATTTCCCCATCAGCATTTCGTTTTAGTCGGAACACCCACTTGCATCCGACAACATTCACGTTGTCCGGACGTTCAACAACAGTCCAGGTACGTGCATCTTCCAACGCGTCAAGTTCCTTATTGATCGCGCCTTCCCATTTAGGCCAATCGGTCCTGACACTTGCCTCTTTGACGGTCGTGGGATCCGTTCCTTCAACAGCCTCTACACCTGCCATCATCGCAAATATTTCTTCGTCATCCTCATCCATCTCACCATACTCCCCCACCATTCCTAGTTCTGCGGCCAAGTTGCTGGACTCTTCCACAGACTGCATTCTGCGAGGTAAGTTTGTGCTACTACCGTCCGTTGTACCTGTGCCATCGCGCAGGCTCTTTATGTACGCTGACTCGATTCTCACTCGGCCAGATCGACGTGGAGGCGCTGTACCTTCGAACTGTGGGCCTAGGTGGTCGAAAGGAGGAGTTGGATTGGGGTTATGGGCTTGTGATTTGACGGTGAGTGTTGAACCGACATCATCGGTTCGTACCGTGTGGTGTCCCCCTTTCTCAGATCCTTCTAGAGGTATTCTTACCTCTGCTGTGTCGAAACGCACGCTGCGCTCGACAGCTATACACCGGGTATCAGGCAAGTAGACTCGATGTCCGTTACTTTCTGGATCAAAGCCCACCCATCTGCCTTCAATCGCGCGCATGTCCAGCTTGGAGCCGTCGGTAGTGTGTACCTTGACGCGGCTCCCCCAGACAGGTAAGTTCCCTAAGTTGGGCCTTTTCTTAAATAACATTTCATAGGGAGTTTTATTGTTCAATGCACGTGTGACGGTTCGGTTCTTCAACCACGTCGCGTGCATTATAGCCTCCCCCCACAAGTGTTTTGGTAGCCCGCTAGCATGAAGTAGCGCGCGCGCTCGTTCGACGACGGTTCGATTTAGCCGCTCAGCAACACCGTTGTGTTCCGGCGTATCGTGCACGGTGAGTTTGCGTTCAGTCCCCTTTGACTTAAGATGCTGAGTGAACTCCTCGCTAGTATATTCGCCTCCTCGGTCGGAACGAAAACGCTTGATCTTTGCGCTGAATTGCATGTCTACCCAGGCCTCGAATTTAGTGTAGGCGTCGAAAGTCTGGTCTTTGGACTTGAGGAGATAGAGGTGCGTAAACCTTGTGTGATCATCCGTGAACGATACGAAATACTCCTTTTGTCCAGGAGTACGAATGGGCGAGGGGCCCCAGAGGTCGCTGTGCACCTCGTCCCTGAAATTCTCGCGCCTTGGAGGGTCTCGAACCTTGCCTATTGCCTTACGTGTGGCCTTTGCGTATTCGCACGACTCGCAACTATCCATGGTTGCGTCGGATGGGTCTAGACTGATTCCGATGATTGCATCATCGCGAATCATCTGTGTGATGGTACTTGGCGCCATATGTCCGAGTTGCGCATGGATTTCGCGCATGGCTAGGGTTTCTTTTGTGCTTGCTACCCCCGCGAAGGTACTGTTTGTTCCTTTGATACAGTATAGACCTCTATTGACTGGGATCTCCCCCATTAGCCGTTTCTTATCATTGAATATTTTGCAGGTGTTTTCTCGGAATAACACAGCATATCCGGCGGCTGCTAGACGGCTAATTGACACGAGGGTTACACCCATCTTAGGTGCGT